ACTTCACCAACGTCCCACCAACCCTCATCACCCCGTACCTAGAACAAGACCAATTTCTCCTGACCAAAGCCCGAATCACCTACGACTACCCCTCCCGCACGCTAATCATGAAGGGCAATCCTCATCGACAAGAACTAGCCAAGGGGCTCTTCGATAACGACTTCCTGATGTTCAGATATACTTTGGATAAATTTGCCCTCCGGCCACTCGGTGCTACGACCGTCGCCGAAGGAGACGTCGTGAAGGAGCCGGATTTGAGTTGGCAGCCGCGTGATTTACCCCCTGGACGGGCGAGGGCGTGGCCTAGTTTGGTGTTTCATGTGGGCTGGCCGGAGGGATTGGAGTATTTGAGGGGGGAGGCGAGGTTGTGGCTTGAGTGGAGTAAGGGGGATGTGAAGGCGGTGGTGTTGATGGATGTTGGGAGGGAGGAGTTGGGGATCGAGAAGTGGGTGATGGGTGATGAGGGTGGGAAGTTGGATCATCGGGTGGAGGTGAGGATGTCGAAGGAGGGGGTGGTTGTGCTGGGGGCTCCTTTTGTGGTCACTTTTCGGAAGGCGTTTTTGAGGGATCCGGACCCGGAGAAGCCGGAGGAGAGGGATTGGGTGTGGGGTGGGGAGGAGATTAAGGAGTGTATGGGCTGTTTGGTGGATGGTCGGGACTGAGGGAGTTGTTGGGTGAAGTGAATGATGAAGACACAATGCTGTGATCAAGAATGCATGCTTGAGATGACGCGTGTACTACGATGGTTTATTGATATAGGGTCATTCCATATCACTATGCGACTACCACTAATGAGCGTAATACTGTGCATCGAGCCATCGTCAGATGTAGTAGTACTATTCGCCTAACATGCTCGCGACATACAATATTAGCCACAAAACTAGGGTTACTATTCCCATGGGGGATGATATAATGACCCGCCCAAAGTCCGGAGATACCAGACCATACTCCCAATAATACTCATAAAAAGAATGCCAATTACTAGATACAATATGCCACTCAACATCTACATTATAACTAAATATCCCAGTATCCTCTGCATGACATCTACTAAATAAAAAGAGCCCTCATCAAGCCACGACATCTTCTATGAACCGTCAAGCTAAGTACATACCATAGATAAAGAGGAACGAAGTACCGAGTTCCTTTTGCGCGAGTATATAAAGTATGATGTATCCAAGTTTAAAAATAGATATTCTGAGCAGATGAACTATAAACTCCAGACAGACAGACATTCTGTCTAGTACGATCATCCACCTTCCCAATCAACCCCCACCAAGAATACATGCATAATATGTATTATTATCTTTACACTTTCTTATTCTACATCTTAATTTTTATAATCTAACCCACAACTACACTGCAAATCAATTACTCAACCAATCATTCTATCAAATTATTAATTTATGAATAAATGATGCTGACTAATAATAAATAACGTAACCGGCAAGCGAGTCGGCCAGGCAAGCCAGTCGGCCACCTGTGTATCCCATACTAATCTAATATTTATCTAACTCTAATATCTCACCCACTGTAAGTTCAATTACAATAGAATATTAACTGAAGCTATATATATACTTTAAGAAACCAAATATCAAGAATATATAATATAATAGGATTCATATTATATATAATACAAGTTTAAAATAAATTACCAAAACATACAGCGTAATATATTTTACTTGATTGAATATTGATATTTATCTTATAATATTTGTATACTAATCTTAGATATATTCTAGTATGCCAATTTCATTAGATAAATTTAGATCTATAAAGTTTGGCTGTAGTATTACAGCTCAAAAATCGTTGGATTAGTATGGGATATACAGGTGGCCGACTGGCTTGCCTGGCTGACTCGCTTGCCGGTTACGTTAGTTACCCATATGCGCCCCCAGATAGTGGCCAAAACCCCCGCTGAAACAAAACTGCAATGAACAACGGCAAGGTGGTCGAGTGGTTTAAGACGTAAGACTTGAATCTGGCTTTTGGGAATGATCACCTGAAAAACGGTGATTGTTTCTTATCCAAACAGACGATATCTTATACCTTCGGGTGCGCGTGTTCGAATCACGTCCTTGTCGTTTTGTTTTTTTTCTCCCTTCCCTCCCATCTTCCCTTCCCTCCCACCTTATCTTTCTTTCTTTCGCCTTTCTTTTTTTCTTTGTAAATGAAGAGGGTATGTATTATGGATGAATTTTTGTTCGATTGAGGGTGTGAAATATTGTTTTTTTTATCTCTCTCTCTCTATATAAGTAGTAGTACTAGTGTATTTACTAGGGTATCAACCTGCTGCATATGTACTCATCTTCCTCAACTTCTCCCCAAACTTCCAGAGAAACACCGGCGCCGGCACTCCCAACGCTATTGCGATAAATGCCAACAGACTATTTCCCCATCCGTAGTCCAGCGCCTGATACATATACGGTGCGAACAGTGGAAACCCGAATCCCGCGAGCGAGCGCATGCACGCCACTGCTGCTAATGCGCTGGCGGCGAACCGTGTATACGAGTCGACGATATACGTCTGCAGACATTGGAAGGAGATGATATTGCCCATTCCATAAAGACACGCACCGATGTTCGGCGCAATCCAGTGACAGTGTGTCTGGGCCGTCCAGCCGTAGATGAACAAGCCGGCGGGAATGAGAAACGCGCCCACGAAGAGCAGCGGGACGCGGAACTCGGGCTTCCCGACGCCGTTGTTCTTCCCCTTGAGACGGCGGTAGATGCGATCGTTTAGCGGGGCGCAGATCTGTGAGCCGAGCCAGAAGCCCAGACCGAGGGAGATGTAGTTTAGGCCGCCGATGCCGGTGGATTCGTTGTAGTATTTTGGGCTGGTCCAGAGGGAGGGGAAGGTTGAGAGGACCAGGTACATAGTGCCGTAGATGTAGGCCATGTAGGCCGCTAGGGCTTGGACGATGGGTTGGGTGGAGAGGAGGCGGAAGGGACGGATGAGGGCGCCGCGCATGATCTGTCCGAGGGTTTTGTTTTGGCGCTCGAATTCGGTTTGGTAGTCTGTGTCGGCGGTTTCTTTGCGGAGTTTCTTGGCGCGCTTTTTGAGGATGATGGGGGCGTAGGTTTCTTGCAGGAAAAAGAGGCCGGCTACTTGTATTACACCGTCCGCGATGGAGGTCGCGTAGAATACCCAGCGCCAGGTCGTATTCTCGGCGATGAAGCCGCCTGCGATGGGGCCGACGGCTGGCCCGAGGAGGGGGGCGAGACTGTAGATGGCTACGCTTTTGCCGCGCTGTTCGGGCTTGAAGCAGTCTGAGAGGACACCACCACCGATCTAGTTTGTTAGATGGGTGTGTTGAACTGTGTGAGGGGGTTGCTTACTGCTAGTGGAGCGCTACCGCCTAATCCGGCGAAGAATCGACAGACGATCATTTGTACTTTGGTCTGTGATACGCCGCAGCCGATGTTGAAGACGAGATACAGGAGGTTGGCTAACTGTAGGACTTTCACTCGACCGTAGATCTCAGAGAGAGGTCCGAGGAAGAGCGGTCCAACGGCGTAAGCCAGAATGAACACGGACAGAGTGAGCTGTGAGATGACCTCGTCCGTGATGTTGAACTCTGCAGATATCGCACTTAGGGCTGGTGCCACCATGGAGGAGGATACGGGCGAGATGAAGGTGAAGCAGGATACCGTCACCACCGCCGCCCACTTCTTCTTCATTGGCCAGTTCTTAGGGTTCTCTGGATCGTCGGGGCCATCCCAGGTGACCTATCCAGTTAGCACTAGAAACACAGCAACTAAATCAGACATACCAGTTTAGGGTCCGCTCTAGATTTGTCTGACCGTGCAGTCCGTGACTTCTCCAAGCCTGATGCCTGGGCTCCAGCTTCCAGATCGCGGTCACGCTCGTTCACCACACCCGCGCGTACTTCGAGGACAGGCTCGTCTTTCTCCCCCCGGTCGTCGGACGAGGAGTCCAGACCCAGCTCATTATCGCTGTGATAGACAGAATGATCATCTAGATGCCTTCCGGAATGCACTCTCTCCACCTGTGTTGTACTGTGTCTGGACCTCGACCTTGTCCGCGTCCTCAACGTCCCCAGTCGGTAAGGCCGTCCCGACAAAGACCCATCATCTGAGCTAGACAGCGACGTAGACCTCGACCTGGTGGACCCGGCTTCCGAAAACGAATGTTCTTTGGACATAACCACTGAATTTGACCAAAGGCAGAGAAGGGAACTATATCTACAGCTCCCAGCCAAGCCAAAACTTAATCAGGAACACCGTAAAAACAGAACTGAAACCTGGGCCTGGGGCAGCCCGGTTAATTATATCATCCTGACTGATCCATGGCTGTCGAAACGGTGATTAAATCCCCGTTAACGCCGATTGTGGGGCGAATTTCTAGAATTTGCACTGGATGAAGCCATCATTGGCCAGCAGGTGAAGCTTGATGCTGGTCCACCAGTCATCCCGGCTCCACGCTTATCAACGATTTGTGCACGGGAGCGGCATGGCCCGAGTCATTATGATCGAAACGGGCAATCCGACCTGTGAGCATTGCATTCGGGTCATTTTGATTGGCACGAGGCCATGACTGCGTGTCCGTTGACGGGAAGCGAGAAAACTTGCAGGAGAGTTGTACCGTTGCAAACGTGCATTGCCTGGAATGTGACGGGAAAACGTGACTGGCTGGAGGCTCGGCTGTCGGCTGTCCGGCACGTCACGTGGGTCACGTGAGGCGGCCCCCGCCGCCTTTCTTTGATACTTTGGCCGATTTTGGATAACTTTGCCTGCAGGATGCGATTGACGGAATGCATTCCCTGCTGAGCTGCCTGATCAGCACGCGGACGTCCGATACACCGTCGTGTTACACTGTTGGCGCCTGCATGTCACTATCTTTGTTGCTGCCGATCACTTACTATTCTCCGACAAGACAGTTGACTCATACCGTTCTGGATTTTTATCCGGCTATGCTCTGCTTTCGCGGCCATGCATTGAGGACAACATTGATGTATGTATGAATGACGATGTATGCTATTCACCAATCATGATTCGTTGTGCTGTCAATTTGACCTATCGACGCTACCATCTGTTACAAGGCCGTCAGGCACCAGTTCGGATCTCCGATGGCCTGGACCAAAGCAGAGCACATCACCATGCGCCTACGGTCCCTGCTAGTCCAATGCCTCCTCTTTGATCGTAGCGATGTCTTTGTGCCCGATGAGTGAGACTCTGGTAGCACCGATTGTGGGTCTCCACCAGAGAGGATGACCTTGCACATTCGGTTACCGCTGCATCATATCGCGGTCTGGACGGTTCTTAAACACCGCTCGAGATACTGCTCCACCCGTTTTACGTCGTCCAATGCAGCTACCGTGCCCACATATCCATCTGGTCGAACAACAGCCAGAGCCCCCCGGGCAGCATCTACACCGTAGATCTTGTACACGTCGTCCATCTCGTAGCCACTGTAAAAGCTCATCTCTGAGTGTCTTTTGAGCTCGGCTGGTAAATCACGCCAAGTGAATTCCCGAGACAGACGGGGATGGATCACAACTTGCTCGATCACGGATGCAGGGAACCGGGGCAGCACTGCAGACCCTATCGTCCGCAATGTCTGGGCAGAGACGCCCTTCGGATACAGCAGATCATACGACGTGAGACAAAGAATACGGAATCGACCAGTTGACAAGAAATCTGCTCCTGTCAGCTACCGTCGGCTTTTGAGGTTTCAGTGCTTTCCGTGCTTTGCTACACCGGGACTTACCATCATGCAAGTTCCGCCGGTTCCCATCGGCATGTCTACGGTATTTGACGTTCAGCAGTCTCCGACCCGGACGAAGGATGCCAGAGAGATAGTCAGTTCCCTCAATTGGATTCTTCTTGCCACCTTGCACCTTCTGCACGATCGGACTCTCAGGATATTCAATTCCACAGCCACTGGTGAACCCGTTGCCAGTACTGAATACTTCCAAGAACTGCTCGTGCGTCAGGCCGTCTGCGCCGTCCTCTGCTGCGCCGATCTTTCCAGAGAACATGGACGAAAAGGCACGGTCGAACTCTATAAGCTCCTGGGCGATCGTGTGACGCTCAGTGTGGTATGTATCCAAAACAGCATCAGGCTTTCCTGGCGATGCTGACGCGGGAGTGAGACCATTGATTGCATAAGCCAGTTTCCACGCTAGGTTGTAAGAATCCATCATGGAGACGTTCATCCCTTGGCCTGCCTGTTAATTCAAGTGAGTTAGTATGCCGACGCTTAGCACGATCGTTTAGCGGGGTGCATACCTTGGGACTATGAGTATGGCAAGCTGGCACAAATGAGCGTTAGCATGCAGCACTCCAATTAGAAGAAATATACGAACCATCTCCCACAATGAATACCCGATTAGCTCCCTTCGAATCTTTCACTGTGAACTGATCCGACACTCGCTGGCCAATCTGATACGCCGCCCACCAATCCACGGCGCCGTCCGTTTTCGGTCGGATATAGTACGGCTTGAAGGCTTCGGCCGCAGCATGAAAAATCCCGTCGAGAGTGACCTGGCTCCTGCGAGCTCGAGCGTCCTTTGGCGTGGATTCATTTACTGACTTCTGGTCCTCATCTGGGGTGGCTTCGTCTGGCACTTGAACATACAACCGGGTCAAGTAGTCACCGGTCGCAATCCGCTCGCGTGGAATCACCATCACTGAAGTAGCCGGGGCATGGATCGCACAGCGTCTCCTGATATCAGGAAAATCGGTATCGACGACAAGATCGACCACACCCCAGATGTGATCCAGCGATTCGCCCACCAACTTCAGACCCATACAACGACGGACCACGGAATGAGCGCCATCCGCACCAACCAAATACTTCGATCGAACCGTCCGTCGTTGGCCAGCCGTCTCGATCTCCGCCACCACAGGGAATTCTGAATCGCCATCCTCATCGATTGTCACGTCTAAGAGTTTAGTATCTCGCTGCACTCCCCTTTTCGAGTACCGCAGGAGATCCGTTTCCAGGATTCTCTCAATGCGACCCTGGTGGATTGTGACTTCGTGCTGGAATCGCGCCGGCACGGCAACATCAGGCACTATCGCCGTCCGTTCAATGATCTCATCCTTGTTAGGCGAAGGGTTCCAAAATGCAACTTCCTCCATGTGGCAGCCATCGGTGAGAATTTCGTCTGCTAGCCCGAGGGTCTTCAGAACCTCGAGTGTCCTGGGTTGGAGGCCATCGGCTTGGCCAGATTTAAGCGTTCCCGGTTTAGCATCGATGCACAATAGTGATGTATCGTTCAGTCCATATCTGGCTAAGAGGAGATTGAGCATTAGCCCGGCGGGACCAGCGCCGACAACGACGACTTCGTATCGCTCTGGGACTCCATCGCGAGGATCGTTCGGGCTGAGGCGAGGTAGGGGCGGCGCGAAGGAGGGGAGAACACGAAGTTCACGGGAGGATGCTGCAAACTCGGTGAAGACAGGCATTTGGTCGAGTCTGTGGTTCTAAGAGTCCGGGTTTGAAATCAATTCCGCTGGTATAGTGTAAAGAACGCACTCGACTTGCGAGGGCTTGTAGCTGGTGGGCAGTGAATGGCAGGGTCACTTGGTCGAGAATTCAATTACCGGGCGTGTTAGAAAGGTACAAGTGTCCAGTCAACCGCCGTCGGATCTTGGCCAGCTATATGACTGCTGGGGTGGTCCCCACGAAGCCATCTAGGGTAGGATATAGTCCCGTCTGGTTTGTTTGGATCCCCCACGCTGGTTGGCCGTGGGGTTTGGCCTCAGGCACACATTTTCCACTATGGGAGGCTGACTGAGCAGAGGTGGAGAGCCAGTTGCTGACGGCTGATTATTAGAATCTCACCAATCGCCCTGATCGGCATCAACCTTGCCGGTTCGCGTAACAGATGAGGGCCCCAATGTTCCCATAACCGCCGATCCTACGCTTCTGACTGGTTGCAACCAACAATATGAATCGTGGACTTACGACTAGCCACTCCATCCTAGCGTTGACAGGTTGCGGCTTTTGAAAGTGTGGGGTTGTTACGAAGAGGTACGCACACAGCACCGTCGGTGATGGAGGAGTTCCTTGGAAACCTCAGTTCAAAATCCGACAGTGGTCGAGCGGGTATGCAATCTGGAAAACCGCCTGCTTTCACCAATTGACTGCCTTGAGCTAATTGCCTCTACGACAAAGGTCCGTGCTGGAGATGAAATTCGAGAGGTACACCATAGAAACTTGGAATGTCTTCCCGAGGAAAAGGGAACTTTCGCCTACCACGGAACCGTCATCCTTATGACCTCACGGACGCCACACCCCAGATCATTTGACTTTCTCTCATGGGCCAAGTAATTGTTTAACTCCTTGGGAGACAGGTATGTGCAATTAGTTGAACAGTACGATGTCGCAACTCCCGTGAGGTCCTAAGTTGACCGAAAGTTCTGGCAGACTCCACCTTCTGGAATTGTCAGGACTCGACTTCTTGTGCGTTACCGCTGTAAGATAAACAGAACCAGACTATCTGTCCATGGATTATACTTTGCAGGACGATAGGGATTCAGACCACGAAGAAAAACACAAAAAGGCTATGTATGAAACTGCGTTAACTCGAAAGAGACAATGCCGGCCATCTCGAAGGCACAGGAACTCATGCGGGGGCTGCGGGTCCACCAAGACCAGAAATGAGCGGACAAATGGTCCGGATAGTGACACGCAGACCAGAGGATCACTTCCGCCTCCGCTTCTTGCTCCCGCGTGAGGGGGATTTCCGGCCATGAGTTACGGCTGTTCTATTACCGGGGCATTGAAACTGGGGCCTAGTATATCCGGTACCAGAGCAGTCGTACAGACTAGTCTAGTCCACTTTCGTGAACTCAATATTGAGTAGAACCGCTAGCAGGGCGGCCCACATTCGCTTGGGAGAATGGCCAATCCCCCATCTTGGGATACGTGCGCCATCCGGTGAAGCCCCTTCGTCATCGCAGCTCTTCCTCCGGTTGCGCTGGGCGGTTTGCTGTCAATTGTTAAATCAAGTGGGGGCAGCAGTTGCATCGTTGCTTTTCCCATCGTTCGCCTGGCGAGGAGGTTCACTGATAGGCTGGATATACGGATTAAAGTCGGTTACCACGCTACTGCCGGCGCTACTCAATTTCGGGCAGGTCCCGGACTTGACGGGTATGCGATATATCACACCAATGCACGCCATTGGCTAACCGCTAATAGCCGTTACATTGTAAGCCCACAACTACAGGTGCAGCTTCACGCAGTCCAGACAGACCGCAAGGCGCCTGTGCGGCCAAGCAAAACTTCTTCGAACTTGGGCAATGTTGTTGGCTACTCGTGTGTCAACAGGGCCCTAGAGAGCTCTTGAATTTGAGCATACCCTTACAGGTCCAACCTGAGAGATCTCTCCACACGCCTATTTCGTATTCGACCCTCTACTCCGCCAGTACCCATGCTAGTGCCGGCGCCTCGCAAGGCAGCCCAAGTCAAAAACGGTAAAGACGACTCTAGCTAGTAGACTTCGTTATCGTGTCTCTTGGCTATATGACCACCCGCAGTCCCCACTGGATCAATTTTCTCCCCGTCCGATCACCAGCACCCGTGGATCCTCGTTGACTCCGCCTGGAATTCAGGGTTGCTTCGAGCCCATCTGATCGCCAGTATAGACTCCACTTGACTGCCATCGCTGGGGGATTTCCGGGCTAGGGTTCATACCACTCTGCCACAGAGAAGGCCCCTCACTATTATCACGTCGGTACGATCACTTCCAGCTCAAAGCAACATTTCAGAAAGACAAGAAAAGGTGGAAGGTTACACGGCTTCCTCCCCGGGCACTGATCGCCAGCCCCACCTTAGACAACTCTCTCACGCAGATGGCTGAGGTGGGACGGAAGAATGCCGCGGTCGTTCCTCGCGTCCAGCCGATATTCGCATGAACGCTGACATATTCTGTAGCACGAGTGAGCTTATGCACAGAGAGGGGTGGTCCCGGATATACCAGCAACTGCGCAACACATATAAGGGTGACAGTCTTATGCGTTCTAAACTGCAGCACTCTTCAACACTTAGCCATACTCTGTCTTTAGCTCTGCACTGAGAATCATGAATCGCCTGGCACAATTTTTAGGCGTTTCTGCTGCCAACACCCCTGAGAAGACCCCTGATCCGTGGATTGTGCAGGAACGCTCCGTTGATGAAGCCAGACCTCTGAGAGTAGTTGTCATCGGTTCGGGCATCTCAGGTATCGTTGCATCTATTCGCTTCAGACAACGCATCACCAACCTGGATCTATGCGTTTACGAGAAGAATGCAGATGTTGGAGGCACGTGGCTGGAAAACAGATATCCCGGCTGCGCATGTGGTCAGTAGTGTATCCTATTTCCCCTGCTTATGCCTGGGCTAACTTGGCTGGTCTATAGACATCCCGGCCCACACCTATCAGGCCACATTTGAGCCTAACAAACAGTGGTCCACTTTCTATGCTGCAGCCCCAGAGATATATCAGTATTGGAGGAGAGTAGCGGATAAATATGGCTGCGAGAAGTGCATCAAGTTCAAACAGCAAGTTGTGGAGGCTGTGTGGAACGAAAAAGATAGCAAATGGCAACTGAAGGTCAGCTACATCGGATATCACCATGGGACACAGCAGCTGACAAGCCTTTGGGCGTAAAGGTCAAGGACCTAGATAGTGATTCGATCTACTCAGACCAGTGTGACGTGTTGATTTCGGCCACCGGGTTCCTCAATGAATGGAAATGGCCGAACATCCCAGGTCTCCATGATTTCAAAGGAAAGCTGATGCACAGTGCTAGATGGGATGAGAGTTATGACTACAGTGTATGTTGAACATTTCCAAAAGGGTCGCTGATCTGGGCTAATGTCCGTAGGGCAAGAGAGTCGCTGTGATTGGGAACGGCTCCAGCGGTATACAGATTGTGCCTGGAATGCTACCGCAAGTGACGCACATGGACCACTATGTCAGAAGCCGAACCTGGATCGCACCTGGCTTTGCTAGGGAAGAAGTTGATCGACGAGGTTCGAAATTAGACAACTGTGAGTGTGCTTGAGTTGGTAACATGAATGTCTAGCTGATTGAATGTCCAGTCTCGTTCACTCCGGAAGAGCTCGAGACCTTCAACAAGGACCACAGTGCTTATCAGAATTTCCGTAAAGGTTGGCGTCTCTTTCACTTTGGTTTTGCTTGCGCTAACCTTATCAGAAATCGAGGTTCAACTACAATCTGTCCACGGCGCAACCTTGCTAGGCACGCCAGAACAGCTAGGGGCCAAAGATATCTTCGCCCAGAACATGAAACAGCGATTGGCAAGGAAGCCCGAGTTGTTTGAGGATCTCGTTCCGTCATTCCCGCCCGTTTGCCGCCGACTTACACCTGGGCCCGGGTACTTGGAGGCCTTGACCGATGACAAGGTTCAAATCATCACCAGTGAGATCGTCCGGGTTGATGCAAATGGCGTCATCACTGCCGACGGGGTGCATCATCCCACCGACGTTTTAGTGTGCGCCACCGGGTTTGACACCAGCTTCACACCCAGATTCCCCATCACGGGGCGTAACGGTCTGTCGCTAGCGGAGCGGTGGAAGAGTACGCCCGAGTCCTACCTCTCCATCGCCGTCGACGAATTTCCCAACTACTTTATCTGTTTCGGGCCCAATTCGGCGCTGGGGGAGGGCAACCTGTTACTTTTGCTGGAGAAAGTGGTTGACTATTTCACCGCCTGTGTGCAGAAGATGCAGCGGGATAACATCCGGTCCATGTCGGTTAGAAAGGATGCGGTGGAACGGTTTACGCGGCACTGCGATCAGTATTTTTCCCGCACGGTGTACAGCGAGAAATGCCGAAGCTGGTATAAAGGGGGAGCGGAAGATGGTCGGGTGATAGGGGTGTGGCCAGGTATGCAACCTTCCTCTTGCTGTTAGGCCTTGATGATCACGTATTGACCTAGCCAGGATCGTCTCTCCACTCACTGAAAACACTTTCGAATCCCCGGTGGGAGGATTTCACCTACGAGTATGTGGATGACAATGCGAATGGCTGGATTGGTGATGGATGGACGGAGAATGAGAAGAACAACGCGATCGAGGTGAACTATCTGGATGATGATCAGGTGGACTTTCCCTTGACTGTGGTTGAGCAGTCGAAGAATTGAGCAGATAGCCGTATATGCATACAGTATGGAGACTTGGCCATTTCTTCTGTTGCTGGTTTGTCTTCTTGCCACTCTGAATGGGATTTAGGTTGTTCCCGAGCTGTGAACCGGGTGTGTAGCTTACCTGGTGTAGCTTAAGCGTGATACTGGATAGTAGTAGTAGATAGTTTGTACTTTGTAGAGTGTGTAATCTATCTGCGGTGGATGGCAGTCTCCCTTTGTCGGGCCCACCGAGAACCCGCGTCACTCGATGGTAAGATTACCGGGTAATCTGCTAGATGGCAGCCCATTGTCAGTGAACCCGAGCGTATGGCGGATACCACGAAAAGGGCAGTAATCAGTAAGTACGGAACGAGCCGGTCACTTTTGCAGGATTACTTTTATCCTGAACGAAAAGGAGGCCCCAGAAAACCGGCTGGGGAAGGCAGACATCCTTGGCCACTTAACTTTTCTCCTCTTTCTGCTGTTTATTCTTCTCTCCACTTTCCCCCGACCTGTCAACTGTCAAAAGTCTCAGTGCTTGAGGGGAATGGTGTCATACCCTCTCCCTCCGGTCTGTCTCGTATCTTCAATTTTTAATTTTTACCCCCTCATCATCTTTACGTCTTGCCTCTCTTCTGTAATCTAATCTTTCTATCTATTTATCAAGAGATCGTTGCCGGCTAGATCTCAACCGGAGATCTGACAATCTATCTTTGCCCTTAACCTTGCAGATCGTCGGGAGGCGGGTGCTCACAGTGCCAGGGGATCCCCCGACGGCGAACCGATCGCGTTTGCTGCTGCTGACCTTCCGCTCCGATCGCCATCTCTTCCAAGTTCCAACTCTTCCACACCCACCACAAACCCACCCTCCCTTCAATTAGACTAAAGCAACCATCTACCCCGGACTTTCCTCTCCCCCCGTTAATCTCACCCCTCCCCTCCCTTCTCCCCGATGCATGTCCTTCGCCCCTAACCATGAAGCCCGCGAGCAAGCATTTCTGCTGCACCATCTGTCAGCGGGGTTTCACCCGCATTGACCATCTCAAACGACATCAACTCCGCCGTACGTTCCAACATTTGTCGCCCTCCTTCCTGCATCTCGGCCCGCTTCGGGCTCGTGTCTGGCTCATCCTTCAATGTTCGTCCTGCGCTAACTTCAACCTTGTCCGTCAGATTCCGGTGTCCGCCCTTATTCATGCGTTTTCTGCAACGAGTCCTTTGCGCGTTGGTTCGTGTTCTGCTCTCCCTCTCCCTCCCGCCCCTGGCCCGTCGTCGGTTTCCCGACCGGCGCATGTATGTTTGCCATGGTCGCTCCACCCACCCACGATGCTGATGCCTTTGCTTAACCTTCAGTGATAACCTACGCGATCACTACACGGACTGTGCCAAGCGCGGCGATCAAAAGATCCCTGAGACAGGTCAAAGAGGCCGAAGGCGACATGCCTGTCAGTCGGCAAGTTCCCCCCCTGACCTCCCGCCGATCGCATACCCAGCCTATTGTGCGCCACATGGTCGCTAATTGTCGGCATCTAGTGCACATCGATGAAACTGCGCTGCGATGGCCTGAGCCCATGCAGCTCGTGTCAGAAGCGGAACCTACGGTGTAACAATGAGCGCAAGCAAACAGCCGACAACCTGGAGCTGGTCTCCGGCTCGGCTTCGGTGGAGCGTGAGAACTACGGAGCTTCCTCGGATCGCGGGTCAATCAAGTTTCTCCTCAATGGTGGTACAGACAGTTTCACCGAGGAGTTCCTCCTTCCTCCCCGCAGCGATCGCACTCGCGGCCTTGAGTACCATAATCAGAAGGGTCGGCAAGATGCTGGGCAGAGCATGCTCAACTTCCGGACAGGTGACCCGTCAGACTATGCACCCGCGTTCGTCGAGTCGGACCCGGCTTCCCTCTCGTTCTTCCAGGATACTTTTCTCGATTTCTTCAATGGTCCGTTCGGAAATGTGAACAAAATAGTCGGCGATTCCTATGCTGGTGGGGCCAATTTCCCTGCGATGGTGCCCCCGATACCAGATCCCGGCCTCGCATTCGCCCCGCAACCTACATATGAGCCGGAAGAACCGTACGCAGCCGGATTGTATCAGGCGATTCTAGCACGGGCGTGGTCGGTCCCTCTCGATACCCAAGCGCAGGAGCGTTTGTCAACATATCTAAGCTTTTTGTTGACGCCCGCCCGCATTGACAAGTTCGTCCGAATGTACCTGGAGTACTGGCAGCCCAGCTGTGCGATGGTTCACCTTGCCTCACTGAATGTGAACACCGTCGCGTTGCCCCTGCTCGCAGCACTCGTGTTCATGGGTGCTACGTATACGACTGATGAGCAGGAGAAGCATGCTGCAAAGCAGGTGATGGATTTTGTTGAACTCTACATTTTCTCCAGCGAGACATTCTCTCCGGAGAACGAGGTGGCTTTGGCCTTCAGTGGACGTCGAATGTTTGATGGTGGGAATAATGATTGGATTCAGTTTCAGAACCTGCAGGCCGGCTTCATTATGGTGATTGCGCAGTACTGGTCGGGTAGCCCGACAGCGCGCAATCGAGCGATGGAAAACCGGTTCAGCGAAGTCATCAAGGTACTTTACTATGGACTTAAGACAGGTGACGTTACTGACATGAGAAGGTTGCTCGTCGAATGAGCCTTCCCAAATGCCGCCATAACCAACACCAGGCTGTCTCGGAGTTTCAATGGATTCAGACAGAGTCTCGCATACGGTATGTGCCGGTTCCGTCCTCTAATGTACCCCGCTGACGGTAGAAGTACCATGAGCATCATTCTGCTTCTCGACTGTGCATTTTCTTTCTTCCAGAACTACCCTTGCCGTCTGTCACATCTGGAAGTCGAGTGTGATTTTCCTTGCGCCGAGTCCCTTTTCGCTCTCGAACACCCGTACTCCGATCGCCATTTCCAGGCCTCGAGGGGAATCACGATCTTGGAAGCGTTCCACAATCTATTCGAGGAAGATCCCAAGGACACGATGCCTTCCACTCCGGACTCATCCGCGTCTGGCAGTATGGCTAGTCTGACAGTACTCGACATGTTCATACTGATCCACGGTAAGTCACCCACCGATAGCACATGCCGTTAAGCTAATGTATATAGTCCTGTACACCTTTATCAATTCGCACATGTCACTACTAGGTCCCATCCTCCGGAAGACTCAGAATTCTCACCCGAAGCATCTCTTCAGCTTCGATCCCCCAGAGAAGAGCCAGTCTCGGGCGATCCCAGACGACCTCATGCTAGCCCATATCCGAGTCGCACTGGCCCGATGGCGTGAGCACTGGATGACGCTCAGCAACACTCTTTCGAGCGGGGAGTGGGCGTCGATGGGCTTCTTCAAGAACGGGTACAACTTCTGGTTGGTCTCGCAACTGCTCATCACGAAGAAGAAGAGTGTGGACGTGGTGATGCAGATGGAGGTCAACTGTGAGGACAAGTTGCAGAAGCTGAAAGTTCTGCTTGACGAGAATGACTGAGGTCATCGTCTCAAATCTATCTTCCTCTATCGATGTCGATGTCGCCTTATGAAATAGGTAACTACATATGTATGGGCGCGGGCGTCTGGAGCCATGGGTCTGAGAATCATAGCCCCACGGCGATTGTATTCTGTCTGTGTATTACTACATATGATGTGTATTATATTAATGTATGAAAAGATTTCAGTTGTATGTGAGACGAATCTAAATGCAGTATACTAGTAGTGAAATGCATAAACCAACATAGCTGACTCATCATCACACATAACTAAGCATCAACCCCAAAACAGTACTGCCCCAAAACAGAAAGCGGTCACCATCTGCCCATCTCTGCACCCACCCGACGTCAACAACCATCCTCACCAAGCCTCAAAAAGCTTCCTTCCCTCTCCATCCCTCATCCTCACGGACACCCGTCCCACCCACCATGCCCGACTCGCCCCCGCGGCGACGCCGCTCACGCTCGCGCTCGCCCCGGCGCCACCCCCCAAAAGGCCCCGGTGGATTCCGCTGGAAAGAGAAACGCGCACCTCCCCGCGACGACAACAACCCCAATCACGAAACCGACCGTCCACTTGACCGCGGCTACCGCGCGCGCTCACCTCCTCGCCGAGATAGCTACAGAGACAATACTAGCGATAGATACGGAGACAGAGACAGATACCGCCGAGACTACAGCCCCGACTGCGCCAGAGATAGGGACCGTGAACGTGATCGCGACTCAATCAAGCCCAAGAAAACCGACAGCGAAAAGAAAGAGAAGAAAGAGAAGAAGAAGAAACTCAAGCCCGCTAGCACGGAGGAAATGATCCTTGTGACGGTCAATGATCGACTGGGTAGTAAGGCTACGGTGCCGTGTTTGCCGTCGGATACGGTGGGCGATTTGAAGGTCTTGGTGGCGGCGCAGATTGGAAGGGCTCCTAGGGAGATTATGTTGAAGAGGCAGGGGGAACGCCCCTTTAAGGATTTTATTACCCTCGGGGATTATAGTATTACTAATGGGGTGCAGTTGGATTTAGAGATTGGGACGGGGGATTGAATTTTTTTTTGTTATATTTCTGAGAGGGGTTATGTGGGGGTTGTTGTGGTTAGCAGCTGGTATTAGGTTCTCTCTGTGGTCATGGATGTTTCGTTCTCTGGTGATGTGGGGATCGGATTGGAGAGGAGTTGGGTGGAGTTGGGGGTTTTTCATACTATACTTACTGTGACTATGTAAAGTTGTGGAAATGTTATCATGCATCATATATCCTAAGTAGAGAGTATAACACTATTCATACGTCAAGCTGTTTTTATCGATTCGTCAATATGGGTATCGGAACGTTGCCTTAGGTATGTATGTATTGTATGTAATGTACCGACAGGTCACTGTGACTTCGCGGGAAGTAGGGTCAGTCACACGACACCAACCACGTTTTCCAAGACTTGTTGTGGCACGGACAGCGCCACGGCTTAAATGTTATGTTGACGTCTTGCGTTCATGGTATCAATCAATTCATTACCACTGAATATTGACATCTAGTGCGTTGTCTCAATTACCGTGATCGACCCATATCGCTCTACCTTGGTACGGACTATGGGGTATTTCGACAAGGTTATTCCCGCTGTGGATCGACTAATTTAGTTGCTCCGCGCTGCCGTTAGCCCTAAATCGACATCATGCATTAGGAGCTAGTAATTAAAACTACTAACGCGTACACTCGATTATTGTACTACATTTTGCTTTTTAAATAGCTGAATCGCACTCACACAACAAATCAATAACACTCACACACTTGCAACCAGCAGAACCAACCCAAATCAAGCCCTACCCTAAACCAGCAAAGACCCAACCACCAGCCCAACAACCCCCCACCCCATCTTCCTCCAACCCCAACCCCAAACCTTCGCAGCACCCGAAGTCTCCTTCCCATTACCAGCAGCAGATTCAAGCCCATCCCCACTCGACGACGAACTCCCAGATGAGTCCGAAGTTCCACTACCACTCGAAGAAGAACCCGAGGAAGAATCATCACCCGAATTAACAACCTCAAATACCGCCGAATACTTCACCCTCCCCTCATCCTTAACATCCACAATCGCAAACCGATAATCATCCCCACTCTTCACACTCCCCGGCAACACACACGCCACGTCCCCCGAATTGGCAATATCCGTCGTGATAGTCGTTACATTCTTCAGCCCACTTCCATTCGCAGTTCCGTTGCCATTCTTCAACTCCCCCTCCATAAGATAGATACTCACTTCTGAGACATTCCTCTCCACTTCCCAGGTGATAATAGTAGTCTGGCCTGTTTTTACCACCTCCCCTTCAGTCGGGTAATATGTTGTCGAGGCATTGGTGGAGGATGAGATGGTGAAGGGGGACGAGGTGTATGTCTCAGAGGAGGAAGATGGTTCTAGGACGACGATGTAGTCGGAGCCGGTGCCCACGCGCGATGGCGGCGACCAGGAGATTGAGCCCGAGTTGGAGATGTTGGTGGCGATGGTGTAGAGGTTTGTTGTTTCGTTGGTGGTTTTGGAGAGGTGGATGGATAACTTTGAGGTGCTGGGCGCGGTGGTGTTCCAGGATATGACGGTTGCGGTGTTCAGGGAGACTATAGCGCCGGAGGTGGGTTCGGTTATGCTGTAGGTTGGGGTGGTGGTGGCAGCGGTGAGGGTGGATGATAGGGTGAGGGCTGTTAGGAGGAGGGATTTGAGGGTGTGCATTTTGTTGGTGGCGGTATAATTTTGGTGAAGTGTGGATTGGATAGAGTTCAATGGTGAGAAACGAATGTCGGTAGAACATAAACTTCAGACCATCAAACTAGCGAAACAAGAAGAAATGATTGTTATTTGGGCTGTCAAGGGATAATGTTTGGTTTATCAGCCCATTCCATTCCTTGCGTTGGGGTTACCGGTAGTACTGTCATACCGGCAATAATATTATCCAGGGTGGCTGTCTGTCCGGCATGCACGAACCGACCCTATTTATATCCCAGGCAACCATCATCAATTATGGGTCTCGTTAACGTACCCGATTGGTTGTATGCAAGAGCCAGGGAAAATATCTATCCCTAGCGTGGTAACGGCCCTGTGCAGGTGCTGTATGCAGGTGCTGTAGGTAGTGGTTCCTGGTATATGATTATCCACTCGAGGGGCTTGGGTAGGACTATGGTAAGCGAGTTGTGGAGATAGGGCTATTCCAGGGGAGTACCTTTGCAGTGATCGCTTAGGCTGTCAGGTAAATTGCTTATTCTGGTTTGTTGGCTAGTGCTTTAGTGATAGTTTCTAGCGATGCGGAAACGATGACTAGTGGTGTCATAGAGGAGGGAGTGCTTCAAGTTCTAAGCTGTGATCTTGAGAGCCTATCTAAGTGATTGAAACGATTGACTCATTGAGTTTGGCTTTATTATACTAATCTACTTTACACCCTAGCGGGGCAAACAATGGTGCCGAGAGGAAACGTTCATTGATCTAATCTAATATACTCCATGCCGGCCATCCTTCTCATATGTTACCTCACGATCTAACTCGAATCCTTACTGAGCCACTGCTTAAAGTCTTCAGCAATATCATCCAACTAGATACTAACCCACCAAGGTTGACTCCTCTAGACGCAAAGGCCTCCTTTTTCACGGCCCTCGATCTCACATGCCCCAAATCCAATTGCAGGACTATCTTCCATGAATAACACCGTGTGGTAAATGACTCAGCATTACACTCTCTGTCGGCAAGCGATGGCATATTACAATATCTCTGCAGATGATTCCTTGACATTCGAGATGCTTACTAATGACGCTTTCATGGAGGAATACGATCGCGTCTGTATCATGAACCATTCAGACTCTTGATTATGCAAGACAGTACCATGGTTCTGCTATGGGAGCAAAAAGTAGCTAGCTATGTTACAATTAGGTGTGGCAGGGGATTGATTGACAATTTCCGGTTCAAACTAACACAGTCGCGTGAGACCTTCTCATATTATTTTATTTTTCGTTTTTTTTCTATCTCTGAAGCTTTCTCCGGAATGGTGGTGGGATTGGAAAAAGCGATCAAGAATGTTGCCTACACTGGAGGGTGCCTAATGCACGGTTAAGCTTCGGAACGGGCCCCACGTAGGGTTTTACCATAATGCGGTCCGTCCTGCTAATTTTCCGTCCCTGGGGTGTTTCCTAACTGTCGCTGGCCCAGTCTCTCTCCATCTTTAATTCTACAAAATGCTTCAGCTTGAGCCACTCATTCCGCCCACGGACCTTTGGCCGGGCGGCATCCCAACATGCCTTCGTGTAGAGCCTAGCCCCATAGATTGGTTTGATACGGCTGAAATATCCAAAGGCTGGCTTCAATTTGTACAGGTTTGGACTAGCCATATCATCTTCTTCCTATAGTAGCCAATACACTTCAAACGATAGTGAGTGAAAGCGCACTAGAGCTTGACGAAAAAAAATGCATTGACAAATAGCTATGTGACAAAAGAGAGATGAAACAAAATACCGATGGTTCGCTCTGACGACTTCAATCTGGGAGAAAGTCCACAATCAAGAATCAGCCCGGTAATGCTTCTCAACCCAGCGTGCCTGCTTGTCCCACATTTCCCATTCTTTCCCTTCCATACCTTCCTTGCAAGCCTCTCGCACCTTTCTAAATAGTAAAATGGCACGATCGTAGCACTCATGAAATGTAATGCTCTCCCTGTCCACCACTTTGGCAGCCTTGTCCCCAAAAATTTTGTATGCTGTTCCATATCTCGCCTTCTTCTTCTATGCAGTCATGTATTTCTTCTTCCTTTAAATGAATAGGACAGGGGATGTCAAATCCCATTGACTCCCAGTATCTGAAAGATGATCAGTAATTACTCAACAGAGATTGTACCCTAAAGAAGGAAAGAAACGTCTTTAAATACCTTTCCAACATTATCAGACCTCCCCGCAATCGAATGATGTCGTTATCCCACGTATTGCCCATAATAGAAATTGGATCCGTCCTAGTTTCTCCATAAGGATATCCAAAGACTTCCAAAAGAATGGGGCACATATTCTTAATCCGCAGTTGATGAATATAGAACAGCATCGACTTGCCAATACATTCTCGGATCCGAGACTTTTCCTGTGCATCAAGATCGTCGAAGTTCTCGGGGTTTCTCAAGATAATTTCGCCATCATAGTGGACTAGCTTTGGAGGACGTCCTTGAAGCATCAGTGGTGCTATCCACTGTCCTTGCCAGTCTATGACACTAGTTACTCTACCGTCTTAAATGAAGAGGTTTCCAGCGTGCAGATCTGTATGCCAGAGATGGGGTGCATTCATAGCTGGGTCAATTGGGAGAAGATGGGGTGCAACTTCGGCATATTTTTGCAGCAAGCAGAGATGACTGTCTGATCAGTTTGCGTTGCTGAGGGCGCTTGAGGGCAATCTTCGGATGGCGATGTTGTTGTTGCGTATTGCTGAATCCATGAGCGGAATTATGACCAGCAATCTGCAGACTAAGCGTCTGCAACTTGACTTAAAATTGGGAATTATATTTTGGCAAGAAGGTAGAGATATCGGATTTAGTTGTTCTGGTACATGCCGCTCCTCATTGAAGCTATCGAGCTCCAATTCGAAACTCTGGTAAAACCTGACAACAAAGTTCTTTACCCTTAAGGGTCACAAACCGGGAATCACCGCCACCACTTCTGCTACAGGATACGTGCAGACTGAAACCGCCACTTATTCTGCCTGGGGCATAAACATGGTACTGTAAATAGAAGGCGGTCTATTTGATTCCGTGATTCCGGCAACTTCCGTTGGTAGATCCCCGCAAGACAACCTTAGAAGCGACATGGTACTTTACTACCCAACAGGCTAAATTCCGACATTGAAGCCAAATGGTACGGCCAGATACAGCTACACATGAGTCACGGGGTAGCAAACGCTCTGGTGAAGGCAGTCCCATTCGCGGTGCTGATCAGCCCAATGCGTTGCCTGACTCGAAACGCCAAAGACGGGGTAGATATGTCTCTCAGGCATGGTATGATATTATGCCTCAGGCCATTTTCGGCTTCTTCCGTTCAACTGACCCAAACCCTACAGTATGCAATGTCGCCAGCGAAAAGTCAAAGTAAGGATGCAAAAGAAGTTCGAGTATGATCCACTGCTTATTGTGAACGCAGTGTGATGGGAACTTGCCTTGTCAACCTTGCCTCCTTAGCGGGCGACGATGCTTCCAGAATGCCATCGATCTACGACGTCGAACATCTGTTAGAAATGAAATGTCTGCAAGTCATGTGAGGGAATCGATGACTCGAGAAGACATTGACAGTACGGAAAATCCCGCGTTCGTCACCCCACCATCATTGAAGGGCATCTGTGTGACGCTTCTTGGAGAACTGTTTCTAATTGGAGCTTCAGTGTGAGGGGGGTGGATGTGTCGACGAGATTGGATCGTGTCGAACGACAGTTGCAGTATCTCATCAATGCTGTATGCCCTGCTTTCAATAGGCGTGACAGCATCGATGCAGGAACAGGCCCAGTGGATGGACCAGGATCGACCACCATCGAAAACGGATCCTTTACTACCTCGAAGGACAAGGCGTTCGTTCGTGATGAGGTAAACTCTTTTTCCGGTGAAACTTCCATCCGACATGTATTGGAGGAAGTCGAGGAACGCATGGAGACAACTCAAGGCCACGGTGGTCCTGCCACCAACGCTCCACATTCTCAAATTTCCACACCGATTTTGACCCCGCCACCTCATCTTGAGAGGGGAGAAAAGAGTCCAGAGTATAATAACTACCGAAATATATTCCTAACATACGGTATCCAGCCTAAGCGACCGCGGTGGGATAAGTCCTTGGACATCTTTTGTACGGAAATCCATATCTTGTATCCGTTCTTACACCTACCAACACTTCGAAACAATCACGCTGCCATGTGGAATAGTCTCGCTTTGTCTTCTGAACCTGACATCCACAAATCAAAAATCTCCGAGATATCTCTGGCTCAGCTTCTCGTATGCATTGCTATTGGACAGTGTACCGAGTCACCAAGGTTAGAGAATCGAGAAGGACGACACTCAGCAGGCTGGAGCTTATATGGAGCAGCATATGGGTTGATCGGAGACCTTCTTGACAGTTTCGGAAGCTGCCCAGATTCACTACTACTTCTACAAACACTGGCCTTGATGGTTCGTTCTAGCCCGCCACTGGCGATATACTGGATGCACGCTTACGTCGCGTTTTCGTAGGTAATCTATCTTTTTCGTCTTGATATTTTTGGAAAGGCCGAAAAGCTTCTGGCTCTTGCTATCAGCCACGCACATCACCTTGGGCTACACCGATCTAGGGTAATACATAACTTGTCTCCTTTTCACAGTGAAATGTTTCGACGGATGTGGTGGAGTCTTTACATCTTGGATCGTCGCCTGGCTATTGAGACCGGCCACCCATTCTTGATCCAAGATATCAATGTTGACACGCCTTTACCTCGACCAGTAGGGGATGACCAGCTTTCTGATTCCGGTAATTGTCCCAATGCTGACCTAGACATGCCTCAACCGTCGGAAGCAAATGGTCCTCATATCACCTCGTTTCCCTACTTCAAAGCTATGATAACCTACTCCCAAGTTTTGGGGAAGGTCTGGGAGAGTCTCTATGGCGCTAAAAGCTTGGATCTGGCTCCCAACTATCCTCTCCGTGAGCATCTTGAGCGCCTATTGTTCCGGGCTCAGAAAGATATCCATCAGGACTTTGCCCATCCCCACTATGGACCACGCGCAACGCAACTTGCCGAAACGCCATGGTGGCTGATAAAGCAGCAAGCGCTAATGCGAACTGTATGACACTTATCCCGCCTATCTTATTTATTTTGCCTTATTGATTATTCCAGCGGTGGTTATCCGTTTGCCTTCTAATACGCAGGCCCCTGTTATACGCGTCTGTTTCGCCTGACGGGACTCCTATTGACTCGTTCGAGAACGAAATGTCATGCATGCAAATTGCCAATAGCGTTATTGAAGAGGTATCTCAGTTCCCTGAGGAAAAGGCCATCTTTACTTTTCCCTTCATTCACTACCTGATTGGGGCGACAATAACCTCCCTCGGACTCATAATGAAAGAGAATACGTTCAAGGCTGCCTATGGTGGTGCCACAGTTCATGCCGTCCGATTGCTGGAGTCTTATTGCACCAAGACTTGGGTATCTGGGAAGTTAATACGAGTTGTTTCAAGGCTGAGGCATATGGCGTCTCGGTTATGGAAAGATGACAATGTCGTGGGCTCGGGACTCTCAGTATATAAACATTCATCTCGTGCTCCCGGGGTTCTGGATAGTAGGGCTCGACCAACAGGGATTGGCAGTGGTGAAGGTCCTTCCATGGCTCACCCAAGCCAAATACCAAGCGACCCGTTAGTGGAGGAACATGAATTCGTCGGGCCACCGGATATGAACGTTTGTTCGGGTGTACGAGGCGACTCCACCTCTCAGATGCCACCTTTGTACGGGCCAGATATTACTGGGCCTTGCTTGCCTACGCAGGCTCTGTCATTCGATGGCCTGGTCAGCCTAGTTATGTCTGACTTTGACTTTGAGGAGGGCGTTCCGATTGGTACTGGATCTGGGATACATCCTACACAAGGTCCTGCATGCATACACCCCTTACCAAACGACCAGCCAGAAGGCGGTGCGTGCACCAGTCATACTACTTCGAGATCCTTGGCTATGCATAACGAACAAGCTGTTGGTGAATTCGGAGATAGTGGGTTGGGGGAAATGGAATGGCTAGAAGCTTTGTTTGGCAATTATGTCAACTCTGATTTTATACAGGGTCAATACACGTGATGCCTTGCAGAGACTAATAGCCGACTAAGTTTTCTCTATCTTCATCGCTCACACGTCTATGATTGCCATGTGAGGAATCCTGGATCTTTTCGCCTCCTCAATCTCAATGTCCCTTCACGAACGGGGCTGGTATTCATCAAATGCATATCCCAAGTCTAATCCGCTCGAGCCAATGAAGCGTGCGACGGCAAGACACCGGCATTCTCGAACGACCTGTAAGTTTCGATCCAGGTGTCGAAAGTATTATCGTGTCGCTGCCAGCCATACTTCCTGGCCTTGTTGATGGACGAAATCGTCAACCACGACTTGCCCGTTGCCCAGTTAAAGAAACCCCACGTGCCCCAATCAAATGCCTCGACCTTGCCTCCGTGCTTCTGGACGACAGTCTCCCAGACTGCACGTTTATCCTTTGCCCATTTCACCATATCAATTTCATTGCTCAGGGTCTTTGCCTGGCCAGCGGCCTTCTCAAACTTGGGTTCTGGTACCTACAGAACCACACGATTAGCCTGGATGTGGCAACGCTATCAAGAAAAACACCATACCTCGACCCCGAAATATTTGGCTACATCCTGCCACATATGCTTCCACACAAAAACATCACCATTGACGTGATTGAAGACCTCATCCCTGCAGTGTTCTTGCGAGGAAGCCCAGACTGTGAGATCCGCCAGGCTAGGTGCGTACGAATTATCGTCGATGGAGTTCCAGAAGTACTCATTTCCAGGGAAAGCCGCTGGCTGGTTGAGCTCCCTGCATATGAGCATGTAGATGGCGATGGTTAAGGCCTCTGACATTCCGTTTGCTGGATGTTCCAGACAGCATTAGCCCGGGTGTCTCATCACGAGGAATGGTATGGGTGGATGGGTAAATGTACCCACCATGCGGAGCAAATCCATTGATTGCATTTGGTCGGATAATATTGTACGACCAGGTATTCCTCCTCTTTTGTACTTCCCTCAAATAATCTTCCTGGTTGTAATAGAAATTGAACCCCTGATCGTCGTACCGCGGGAACGACTCCTCCAAAGGCACCTTCACTGGACCGAGATGCACCCCGTAGTACTACATTCGTCAGCATCAACTCTCACCACTCCTTCCAATCATCAACAGGAAAACTCCAGAAAGGGAAACATACCTTTCCCCCAGTCTGCAAACTCACCCTCTGCAACCCAGGACACACCGCATCCACGGCATCCAAGAAATTCCTAAACAGAGGGACATTCTTCTCCCTCAAAACCCTGAAGTCATCATCGTGCACGTACGAAGTGAAATAAGCGTGCGTCACGGGTGCACAGATATCCTTGAGCTTAGAGATAATGGTTTCCACGGATTCAAGGAAATCCACGGCGACGAATTCCACTCGTGGGTCGATCCACGGTGTGGGCAGGGGACGCCTGGAGGAGACGATAATTTTGGACCTTGAGTATATAAAACGGGTGTTAGGGGGATTGTAGCTCGGCGAGAAGAGATGAGGTGTGGTTACCATTCATGTTTGGGTTGGCGGATGAGATGTTCCACAATGGCGTAGCCACTGATGCCATTGGCGCCGGTTACGAAGGCGACCTTCTGGGGGAGTGGAGACATACTGTGATACTTGGGTGGTGCTTAGGTTAGGATATTGCTCGGGGGTTAGGATGGTGATTGTAGTGGTGAAAATGGGATTGGGAAGTTTGTGTCTCTTAAATGGTCGACATGGTGGGCTTGCTATATTGGCTTGGTTATGGATCAAGTCGATCCTTGCCTTCTTGCTGTGACACGGATAGTTCGGCATTTGAGATGGAGGCGCATGGTTATCTGTCTATTGACCTGCATCTGGGTTGGACTGATTAGTGGCTCGATGTGACGTCTGTACCAGTTCCATCTTGCTCAATGAGATCAACTTCTCCATCTATCGAATCCCACAGTCAGTCATCTAGGGATACTGTATCAACTGAGAGACATCAACCCTCGCCATCGAGAATTTTGGCTTGCCTCCGGATACGTCGGTCTCAAATGCCCCTCTCGGCGATGCCGATCATCTGCAGCTGTGGATCCAGTTAAGCATAGATTTAACCTTTCCTGGCTCGATGGACGAGTTAGGGCTGGTGGGTGGGTGGAGCTGTAGTTCCGTCATATTGGAGTTCCGTGCTTCTTCCGTGATTGTTCCGTTGCTTTTTCCGGGTATTTTCCATAGTTCCGTGGCAGACCCATGATTAGTGTTCCAGCAGCCTCAGCAGGAATGATACAACGGTTGTTATAGACTATATCCATTGATTACTGACAGTAAAGGTTAAAATTGTCTCCCTCTGAGCATCGCCTGGTAGGGTGTAGCGTGATCAATCAATCTGTTATACAGTACTACTAGTAGTATGAGTAGTCCTATGAATATCCGCCTAAGATATATAGTCGCCGCACAAGTGCGGATATCAACCATTGAGTCAGTGAATCCACCAGAATTAAGCACCAATCACCCTACCAATAGGTCATCAAAAGATCTCTAACTAGTAAGTTATTAGCTAGAGTGTAAAACACACCATTTGTTCTGGTAGCGACGTTGAACCAACTCGTGGTCCAAGACACCAGTCCGCTGGTTACGAATAATAGCATCCATGGAAGAGTGCAGTATATTCCCCTCATATAGCAAAATATATATTGCATCTTTCATCAAATGGGGCTGTGGTTTAGTGGTATAATATTCCCTTAGCATGGGAGAGGTCCGGGGTTCGATTCCCCGCAGCTCCATTTTTTTCTTTTTCTTCTTTCCTCTACCCGTTTCCCAACCACCTCCATCTCACTGCCTACATAGAAAATAGTACATACACTATACCAATCCCGTACTAGACAACAATCTCTCAATACCCTTGATTCCATACACCCCTCATCTACCCAGCCACCTTCACCCTGTCCATCCACCACTCTCACCTCGGCACCAACATGCCTTCCCAAACAGCCTTCATCTCCGGCCCTATCAACACCGGCCCCAACGAGACCTACTTCCACACACATTACCCACCTCTCCTCACGGCCGCTATCGCCCGCAACGACTCCTTCGTCCTGGGTCCACTTCCCTACGGCGTTGACTCCGACGCCCTCTCCTACCTCCTCCAGTACCCCGTCCCTCCGACGCGAATCACCATATTCGTGACCTCGCAGGAAGACAGTCTCTGGGGATTGCAGTTGCGTGCGTTAGGGGTCAATGTACATGTTGTCGAGGGGGATAGTACCCGTGATCGGGACGCCGCTATGACTGCCGCTAGTACTTATGATATTTTGAGGATTAGGACTGGGGAGGAAGCGAGGGAGATGTATGGGGAGTTGTGTAGGGAGGGGTATCTGACGAATACGGAGAGGAACTGGAGGAGGCGGAGGGGTATCGGAGAGGATGAGAAGGTGGAGGCGGGGGTGGTTAATGGGGATGTTAGGGCATCTTTGGGTGTGAAGGAGAAGAAGAGGAGGTTTCTGGGAAAAGCTTTGGGGAGGTGAGAAGTGTTGAGTGTTGGATTGGTTTGTTCATGTAGATGCTGGGGTTGTGCGTGTGGATGGGTTGGATTGGTGACACAGGGGAGATGAGGTTGTGCTACCACCTACTAGCCCTAACTGCGAAGATTAAACCCAGTCTTGACATCATTTCTCTACAAAGTCTCAGTGGTCGGTCCTAGATATGCAAATGTAGGACTGGCCAACTGAGACCATGTCGTGTCCACCGGTGGAAGCCATCTGCCCACCCAGGAGGAGAAGGGCGAGTGCCTTCGCACGCTCCTGCTCCAATTCCTTCTATAAAGTCCACGAAGCTAATTGGCCATGCGCCACAACCCACCCCTTCTTACATTCCCTTCCATGCATATCCAGGCTGACAGTCTGACGGAAGGTTTGATCTACCCAGCAGGCATAGTCACATCACGAAAGCTATCAGTGACATCGCTGGGTTTGGGGATGCAAGCAAAGACCCGTTCAGATTTCTCATGCGCGAAGTAATCGATGACGTGTGGAAGCAATCGTTTTCCGTGGTATTCTTAGAGCACCTTGTGCCCACTATGCAGCAGTATCAGACTCAGTCATTGTGCAATTACATGAAACTCAATAAGTGGTGGTCTTTTCTTGTAATGGACTGAGTAATGAAGTACTACTGAGGCGGAGAAAATGGGGGAATTCCAACGCTTCTTACAGATTAGACCTCATGCGGGCGAGTTCAAGAGACGGATTAGAAGAGCCTACCTTGGCAAATCTACGAAGCCATGCTCGAGGGGGAGGAGGTTGTTTGCGAGAGGCCTCCATGCCTGCCTGAATAGGACATAGTAAGACATTCGGATACTGGATCCCACCTGTCTTGTCAGGCCTCTTGCAATGTTAATGGTAATGACTGGAGCTCAATCAGTCGCGTTATTGGTCCATTGTCCCAAACATCAGCTAGCCGTAGGAAGCCCAGTACAACGATGCTTATATCCAAGACTTGTCAGATAGCTACGCCTGAGCTGTAACTGACTGATAAAATAATCATTGTAATAGTTAATCGAGTCATGAGTGCCATGAATCTCAGAATTGACAGTTTCTTCATGCGCGGAGCCATTGATGCTGAGGCATCTTACGGCACCTCAATCACCCCAGCTTGAACTGGTATGAATTTGCAAATGACTATAAGTTCTGATACCTGATTAGTGCTGAGGTGAGATTAATACTTAATCCAGTAGAAAAAAGCCTAGAAGATCTGAAGCACAAGCTGTAGGATTTACAGTGCATGCGAGACTCTTAATAGCCAAACAGTGGAGACTATTATTATGTATTATGTACCAGCGGGTATTTGTCAACCCATCAGCGGCGGGACGTCCCATAACTGAGATTCCGAATAGTGTATGGAGTGTATGTACTCCGTAGTGGATAGAGTGGGCTTGGTGGATGTGGTGGATCGCCAGTGGATCTGGGACGAAGCTTTAGAGTTTGGGTCGCGGAAGGATTACACAAGCCGCAGCGGTGTCAACTGTCAAGACCCAAGAGAAGCTGCACTGATTGGTGGGCCTGCTTGGAGACTGGTGAGGCATGTTGTACAAGGGGGGGGGAGGGATATATGCATACGTACCTGCATGTGGGTCAGATAACCAGGAGTTCAGCCAGGTGGGAGTGGTATGCCTGGAAGATTAAATGTTGCGTTGAAGATGCTTGACCCTGTCTTAGCCCCCGACTGGAGCCTTCCTAGTAATATCAGTATTAGGCTTATATGCAAGTATGCTTCATCTCAATCAGCAGACTTACAAAAGCGCTGTTACACGTTGTACGCATCTCGAAGAGATCGAGAAGCTCTGTTTCCCACACCTAGTGTTCATATGTGCTAGGTTGCGCAAAATCTCTATGACAAATGTTGAGTTCCAACCTTCAAGTTGTCTATCCTGCTAATCTTTACACACGCTGAAAAAGCCTGAAGAAGCAGCTTTCTGTAAGTTGTGATTTCGAATGTAACAGTTTTATCGGAGTGAAACCGTGATAATGCCCTCCATGTGACAGCTCTCTAGTAGCATAATACCAGATAATGGCATATAAGTTTCTCAGATCAATTTTATCATGATACATCTGAATATCGTGTGTTAATCAATCCATTTATCGTATGCTGTGACACTAGATTACTTTGCAATATCACTATTATCACTGAGGCTTTTAAGTGCATCTCAAGCTCCTAGGTGTTGGAAAACTCCCCGACCATTGTCAGAGAGAGCTAATATCTACGACCTTTTAATCACGTCCTCAGTCTAATCCGACCACGGAATTTCCCACTGCATCGGAAAGAGTGATGAATTTCTTCGTCAGAATGGATGTCCGGTTTTCTTCTGTCGAGAAATCGCTCTCTATCTGCTAACCAGATAGACGTGATCAACATTGGCTTTTGGTCTGCCGATTACCGCATTGACATCATCTACATTACACGAGACTATCATTTCCGTACTTGGTTTATTTTGCTCGTACCATGCAGGCCATACACTACGTTCTCACCCGTCTTTGGTCAAAACTGGGACTAAGGCTCTGTGCGGAAAGGCCATTCAATATTAATTGCACCCAATGTCACAGTCACCAGGCCTTTTGCGCTCATACAGTCAACAATTAATTCTGGGGAGGCCCAGTACGTGATACAGGAGACCTGCCTCAGATCATTTCGTACTCATGATTCTCACTATAACAATCCCGAAGATAGGCACGCAAAGGGTTGAATCGATCTCGCTCAGGAACTTGAGTTGTCCGCGCAGCTCCACGCAGACGTGCCACCAGATTCACGGTAAGACTTGACAATGGCGAGAATGCAGCTATAGGTTCCACCAATCATTAGGTACGTGCCGGCGAGTATGGTAAAGACACTCCATAACGAACCGATCAACCAGCGCCGATTGTGGTCTCTCGTACTGGAAGACCAGTTGTCGAACAACCACATCATTCCCATGGTCTGGCTGGTCAAAAAAGTCCCGGATAGGGCACCTACAAGGGACACTAAATCATCAAACACCGGGACACTACTGGCGATGATATAAGCCACTATGGTGATAGTGAGGGTTGACCCAATCCATGTGATCCAGTGGATCAGAGTGTTGGCAGTGAGATGTGGTGACCCTCGCAGAATGCGGACAAAGACGTACTTGGCGGGGAGCTTGGAGAGTGTCAGCGAACACCCGTTATGATCAAAGAGGTATACCCACGTGTGTCCACAATATGGCGGTCACAAACAGTCCAGGCAGAGCCACACCATACGAAACCTTCTTTATGGTCGGCCCGGCTGAGCCCAATGCTGGCGAGGTAACATAGGTGCCACAGTAATAGTAGATTATGACGCCAATAGTAATATATGTCACGGATACAAGGGTCTGGCATGTAACGAGGGCCTTCGTATACTGGCGCGGGTCATGCATCTCGGAGACAATGGGGAAGAAGGCCGGGGTACCTGCATACGCAAATATGATAGTTGAAATAGCCTTCTGCGCTTCGGCAAAAGATGGGCGATTGAAGAGCTTATAGTCTGACTGCCAAGCTCCTTGCTTGGGGGCTGCTTCGGGCCGGTCCTGTACGCCGACAGCAATCGTGACGATGAAAGCTGTCTCAAAAGTCAGAGAAATCAGATGATATGCCCTTAATAAAAGACATACCAGATATAATAATGCTTGCTGCACCAGCCCACGCAAGAGGACTAATGCGGCTAAGGGTCCGGATGCTCGCAAAGGCAAAGGTCACAAGAGCTGCGATAACTACAAAGATCGCAGTGCAGATGGCATTATTCGATAGTGCATTGAATGCAATGGAGATACTAAGCATGGCTGAACCCGAGATAAAAGTAAAGACTGATGGGAAGTATTAGTAACGCATTGACGAAGGATAGGTAAGCTGGGACAGACATACAAAGACAAAGGGCTACAGCAAAGATTTCACGGCCAATGGGGCCAAAAAGCATTTCACCAACATCGTCAATACCGTAGACATGACGGTGACGCATCTTGAAGACGCCGACAATGTAGTCCGACCAGGTAGCGATACCACCAATTACAAGCAACAGCATAACGCCAGGGATCAATCCCACCGAGCTCATAACGGATGGAATTCCCAGAACACCAAGGCCGATCTGGGCTTTGGTCATCAGAACTGCAGTCCCTATCCATCCTAACTGGAGTTAAATCAGCGACTATCCTTGTAAGCTGGGGTAAAATGCGAACATTACGGTAGTTGGGCCCATTGTCACCCATGTCACCAAATACAGCATCATCATCACCGTGACCATGTTTTCCTGCATCAAATACCTCTCCTATTTGTGGAGGCAGATGGTCAATCTCAGGGTTATTACTAGTTTGCTTTGACTTTAACATGGTCAAAAAGGTTCAATGGAAGTATGCTGGCAGTATATTTTGAGTCGATGAATAGACTGGACCAGTCCCGTAATATCGTGCGCCTTATAAATATCCAACTCTTTCCCGCAGGCTTAGTGAAGTTACTAGACCATTTCCCCGCACCAGATGACGAAGATAAGCCGGTAGCGTATCAGAAATGGGGAGAAAGCTGTCAGAAAAGGTCCCGGCCTAGATCCGGGCAAGGAATTGCATGTTTCACTGGTGCGGACCCAGACCGAAATGATCACGCGTCGAGTATTATCATCGCCGAGATCGTCAGAGACAGGCGATGAGCTGGGCCATCAGGTTGCTGTGGGTTGGTGCGTCAAGAAATCTAGAGAGGCAAACCGCGTAGGTGCCAGATCAGATATTAGTCAAGTACTATGCTTCCAACAAGCGTTCCTTTAGATACTTCAAGTGATGTGTGAACATATGACAAGGGCCGCAAAACGGAGTTGCGCATTGGAACACTGCACGGGCCCAGGAAAATCACTTCCTGTAGGATTGCGTTGCAAACGTCACGATCGTGACCAAATGCAGCACTCAATATGCAGTAGGCCTCGAAAGGGTAGAGTCAACCACGATACCAAGCAATTCCGAGGCTTACGAACAACCAAAGGTACTAGAGAACTCCGATAAGAAAGCAAACCCACATCCTGCATGTACAGGCCTTTGGTGTTACCAGCCCCCTGCGTTTCAAGCTATGACGACTATATACTCATCACGTATGACCGTCCGGAACGGCAGAGCGAGCACTGAGGCCTTTCCCAATGCAGCTGTCCTGCTGATTTATCCTCTTGAGCGAGTTTTAGACATATCTTATACATACCGCTTCTGCCACCTTCATACTCACCTGTCTGAAAGGGACTTGTCCAACATACTCCAACTTACCGTACTTCTCAGAATTACAATCTATATCACCAAGGATTTCTGCAACAGGCACCCTTCCCCGTTGGGGATGGCACCCTAGGCACTCCCCTAGGCACTCTACATCTACATCCTTAGATTGCATGTGATTAGATCAGCTCAAGCATTATCATACACACGAAGATTAACACACGTTTGTTCTCTTTCTATGACGTTAGATTTGGCTCCTGCGCCCGATAGATTCAAGCGCCTGACGCTCTAGCAAGAGCGAATGGTGCAATTCCTATACCTTGCTTTAGCAACTTCATTTCAAGGTATACCTCAAAGCCATGGGTTAGGTTCTATACGTCTATTATTCAATGAACCCAGACGCCCGAGACGTTGATGAAGCGTGCTCGAAAAGGTCTTAGTCTGTGAGTGGCTACCGACTCCTGCCCCAGTCACGGCGGCGCTCCGATATCGCTTGCTTTAGTCGGTTCGGTTCCGACTATCACAACGAAGATATCGGGGCTTGGTCCCGGCCTAAACTTATCCAATCCCTCAGTTCACTAGTATGATTTATCCAGGCAGCATAAATTGTGATACATATCATGTAGCGCGGTGATTAATTCCGGGCAGGGAAACCCGCCATGCAAATGGATGAGGAGAGCTCCAGTGGAGGAAAGTTGCCCCAGAGACTGGCTGCGGATGCCGTTGCGGCTTCGGTCGCCGCCACAGTGGTTACCCCAGTGGTCACAATCATGGACAGGTTCGTCGTAATTAAGCTTCAACAACACTGCGATTATGACACTTCCCAGAATTGTAGTGGAGAGGTCCTGTGTTAAGAGGCCCTTTTTTGTATCTGTTCGGTCACATCTGAGAGATGAATTCAGAAGACCAAGACGCTTCGTCACCTCTAAAACCTTGGATGCTATCCGCAGAAACTTTCTGTCAGCAGCCCTAACGCGGATGGCTCGTACTATACCTGCATTTGGCCTTGGTACTCTTACCAGCACTCAACCGAGAGATACTCTAAATTGTACGATAGAATACGAGACATAAGCCTGTGGCTTCCACTAGACGGAATGTCATATATGGACGAACGGTGGTGATTAAGTCTGTTTAACTGAAAATTTAGCACTGCCTGTGCCATCAATATTGGTCTTGGATGGTATCTACAATTCAACGCCCATACGCCCCATCACACAGCTATCTGCCTGAAAATGCCGATAAGTGACGGTATACGCAAATTATAGTGCTTCAAAAATTTAGAGGTAGGGGGAAAAGATTAGCCATAGAGAAAGGCCTTTAGGTAGTTTGCAATATGTTTGCGGACACCGGTTCTAGTGAGAGTAAAATAAGTGGTCGATCGTCTTCTTCCACGAATAGACTGTTCTTCCACATCAGAATTGCTGGTATTAAGTGAGCGAGCCTCGGGTGGCCGCACTACAATTCCTCATCGGACAGGAATCCGACTGAAGCTGGCGTCGTCGTGGGGAGGTCTAGCCACAACACCAGATGGCACTGCAGGGTTAGACAGCCCACTTCGCTATTCTCAATCTAGGACACTCGAGAAAGTATCCGTCAAAGGCACAATGCCAAGTCAGAAGCCAGCTCGGATGATATTTGCCCCTCGGAATGAAACCCTTTGCGAATATAGAAAGAATTGTGGGATCAGATATCCGAACTTATCGATGCGTCGGTTGGGACTGTTTAAGCCGTTGACATGCGGAGTAACTGCACCAACACTGAGATATGATAATCTATAGTCCCCGCAAACCAACATGCATATCTCGTATCTGCCCGAGCCAATGCTCGGGCCTGGTCCGCCGTATCTGTGTCGGATGTCGCAATCCGACAGCCTATCAGTACGTGGATATGAAAATTATCGGTGACACAAATGTTTACGATGATCCTTTCGGAGGCTTCCCTGGAACTAAGACTGGTTAGATTTCGGAAGATGATGTGGACGAAGTGTTTGGTGCGTATGATGAGCCATACACTCTGGATATGGTAGCTGCTATACTTGCACTTCAGGACGGTATCATTCACGCGTTGAAATACGATGGAAACATATGATTGTGATCTGGATCATATGAGTGAACAGTAATGATTGGTATACTGAAAATGATATATGAATTTGGTTGGTGTACATCTTCATCTCATCACTTAGTCATACTATGTCGATGTGAAGCTGGGTGCATTATGAAGCTGCAAGATGAGAGATTGTGCAAACATAGAGGCAGACGACACCAACATGTGTATGACATTGTGATGGTGTCAGGCACAACGGCGACCGAGCACCAGGCTGCAAGGGGAAGGCCCCGATCAGCTTGACTGAACGAGAAGCATTTTCGCATGCATGACGCTGAGGAGCCTACAATAGAGCACGCTGAAAAACATGGTAGCCGGTTAAATAGAACTACTAGGGGCTTTTCTTTTTTTCTTTTTTCAAACATAAGGTGGCAGTCGAGGCGCACCAGAACATGCACGACCGTAGAGACCTTCTCAGGGTGCCGCTTGTGGCAACATGAAGAGCATAAGGCCACAGAGAAATACGTGAGGAATGCTACTAATATATCGGTAGCCTAATACGTTCAAAGCGATCCCAGTTAAGTGATAATTGGCAGAATAGAAGAGATATACGCTTCGAATCTCTTCGCATCTAAGGGGTACCAAATTCCGGGCCCAGTCCCTAATATGACCGTCCAAACATGCACCATTTCTCAGCCATGCGGTTGCATCCATCTCGAAGGCATGGTGTATTGGTGTCCTTCAATTCACTGGGTTGCTTGAATGGGATACATAAGCTCTTTGCGCCCATACTTGGAGCCCTTGCATCGTATTCAGTGCTGGAGTCTGCAGTTCCCTCACTCAACTTCTTGATCTTATCCTCGCAATCTTCCTGCAGGCAGAAGGGGATAAGACATAGGTTTTTGTGGTTAACCGCCGGTGCAAAATCTGCCCACTTCGTGATTATTTTGAGATTATCGCGGAATTTTGCCAGCGCCCGCGCGTACATGTCAGATTGAATGTCCTTGAGCAGCTCTGCAACTCCAGCAGCGACACTGGGAGTCGGAATAGATCCCTTACCACCGCTATCACGTCGAGCAAATGAGGACAAACCGGTCTCAAGTTCCTTGGGGCCAATCTCAAGTCGAAGGGGAACTCCCTTCAGTTCCCAATGGTTGAACTTCCACCCAGGCGAATACTCTTCGCGCACATCGGTCTCCGTACGAATGCCATCATTCTGGAGGGCTTTCTGGATGTCATCAATGCACTGCAGCACGCCTTGCTTAACATCTTCGGGTGTACCGGCAGTGATGCCGACCGGCACCAAAATGACTTGCGTGGGAGCAACGCGAGGGGGGATGACCAATCCCTTATCATCACCATGAACCATGACCATGACTCCAAGTACGCGAGTAGAATACGCCCAGGAGTTTTGCCAGACGAAGGTCTTGAGTGTCCGCTCTTCTGATCCATCTTGCCAAGGGGCCTCGACCGCGATGTCGAACATTTTGCTGAAATTTTTACCAAGGCCATGAGAAGTAGCACCTTGGATTGCTCGACCAGTAGCCGGAATGTATGCTTCCACGGTCGTTGTATAGTCTGCACCCGCGAACTTTTCCTTTTCCGTTTTGCGACCAGGAACAGTAGGGATAGCCAGGAGCTCACGGTAAAGGAAACTGTAGAGATCGAGAATCTGGAGAACCTCCTGATCGGCGCTTTGTGAGGTCAGGTGAGAAGTATGGCCTTCCTGCCAGTAAAACTCCCGTGAACGTAGGAACGGCTGAGGATTCTTGAACTCCCATCGCACGACGGAGTTCCACTGATTCAAGCGTAGCGGGAGTGCACGCCAGCTCTTGATCCAGCTAGCCAGGTAGGGGTAGATGATAGTCTCCGAAGTTGGGCGAATGGCGATCTTTTTCTCAAGCTTGGTATTGCCACTACAGAGAGAGAAAGTGAGTTTGGCAGTTAGCGTATATAACGGGTTAAAATATCTTACGATTGAGTAACCCAAGCCACTTCGGCAGAAAAACCCTCAACATGATTCTGTTCCTTGTTCAACAAATCCTCTGTAACGAATAGGGGGAAAATGCAGTTGCGAACGCCCATCAGTTTGATGCGGCTGTTAAACCAGTCCTGCAGGATCTCCCAGATCTCCCAAGAGCCAGGTCTTAAGATGTAACACCCAGAGACATCGTAATAGTCAATCATCTCGCCCTTCAGAAGGACTTGCTGGTACCAGCGCGCAAAGTCCACATCTTTGGCGACGTCTATGCCACTTACAGTGGCACCTGCGGCTTTCTTCTTCTTACCCGACTTAGGCGTTGTTGGTGGGACAGCTGAAGACATGCCCGGAATAAATGCGTGACAAGGGGCACTAGCATCACAGATGACATCATCAGGGGTCTCCATTTTGCCTTTGGTGGTTCTGAAGATTGAGGATTGAGGATTGAAGCATACATAATGGCATTAAGTGGAGGGGTCGGGACTAATATACACTGCCTGGTCGTGCTTCGGCGCGTTTGAACCGAGACCAGCAGAGGTATCTTTATCGTCGCTTAATCACGTCTAATTGATTGTGGGACTACGAAGCACGCAATCTCGTACTAATCGGTAATGTTGATTGACTAGAGTAGCATTTTACGCACCAACTCGACGCTATAGACAAAGTTAATAACATAAGACATTCTTACTGGGCCCTGCCTTATTCCGGTTGTTTACGGGGGAAACTTACGTTGCAAATGTACCCGCGGACACTGGCATCGCACGCAACAAGGCCGGTCCAAGTCCCTGGAAAAGACCTCGGACGCCACCAACCACCCAAGTTTCCTTGAAAGCGTGTCCCATGCTACTGTACTTCCGATCAGAACCAAACCCATCGCTCTGCATCTTACTTTTGATCACATCTAAAGGGTGACTTAGAAGCCAAAGTGCCTCCCCAGCCAAACCACCGCAGACGGCTATTTGCCAGTTGGGTAGCTCTTCACGTTTCTTCTGCTCGTGGTGCTGAAGTATGCCCAAAAGGCCCTCGTACGCAGCGAACCAAACACCATACCCGTGGAATTCTCGGAAAAGAGTCACAACCTGGCCCCGATACAAGCCAGCGGGGCCCACAGTGCGGATGATCTTCCGAGCACAGTCCCAGGGCCCGGAGTAGAGCCGGCCAGCGCCATGGGGCTGCGTCTGGAGACGGATACGGATGTGTTCAACGGGACCGGAGATAATACTGTTTGTCACACCCGCTGCACCGCCTGCGAGATAGAACTGGGGTAACGACAAAGTGGGGTCCTTGGTGTGGTCATTGCGGAAATTATAGGATTCAATGAGTTGCCGGAATCCGTGGAATGCAGCGAATTGAATACTGACCTAGATTCCGGTAAGCACGGGCTTTTTCTAGTAAAACTGAATGGATGTGGTTGGCTGTACTCACACAAGCGCCAACACCGACAAGCGGCACCAGCGTCCCCTATTACGATGTATCAGGGTCGGGTCCTTAGCACATACGAGGTTTGATCTCACCTTGTAGAAGGAACGAGGTCCCTCTTGGATGTAGATATTTCGCGCTGCAGATAAGGCGCTACCTCCGCCCTGAGTCTGCAATCGCACCTTGACAATGTCTATCACGCGTGAGAAGGAACGATCCTGGTTCAGATATCTGACTTACCAAATGGCTGGCCTGGTAAAGAAATCAATTACAGTTCTATGCAAGTGGAAGAAGGGCAACTCACCGATCAAGACCTGAGCGACACCACCGGCTGCACCGGCTGCTAAATCCTTCACATTTTCTCTCCAATCCACTGCGGTGGTGGTCAGTTCTCTCGCGTCATAATCCATATTGCACTGTGTTGCTGAGGAAATGGAATTCTACCATCAATATGTTGCCCGGGTTCAATTAAATTCTGCTGTGAATTGCGCTCTTCTACCCCGCTGAGTGTATTAGTGGGGCCATTCGGCCCAGATCCGAAGGACTCGGTCCTATGTCCCGAGGGGTTTGATTATCGCACGAGCCTGCGCGCAACTTAAAGCTGGCTCTAATACTTAGTGTCCTAGCATTGAATCAGCATCTCGCAACTTGGATCTATTTGCATATCATGAATTTCGTGCCAAAGCGCCGCAGTGTGCCCCGTGTGTTGAGCCTTACCACGGCCGGTGGTAAGAGGTGTCTAGGGGGCTTGGCCAGCTTCAAAGTTCCTCCGATTCGAAATGAGCCTAATGTAAGGTCCAAAGTAGGGAGAATATCTGGAGTGCCCAAGAAGCTAATTTTGATGCCAGCCGTCATATGCTAAAGGGTCGAACGAGCGTGCCAGGCTCCAGGATGCACTGGACAAGCTGAAGAGCCAGGTCCCCGTTCAAGTGCCGCTTACCATTGGTTCCACGCAGGTTTGTAACCTCTATTATCGGGTTGCAAGATAGTTCAAGCTTACCCCATATCAGGTGTCTGGAAATATGGACAAGACTCAAGCAAACCCTTCTGACCATGCTTCCGTTATCGCCAATTATTCCGAGGCATCGGCCGAGCAGGTGAATCAAGCCATAGAGAGAGCTCTGGAGGCGAAGCCGGCATGGGAAAATATGGCCTTCACGAATCGAGCAGCTATCTTCCTTCGTGCGGCAGAGCTTGTTGCCACGAAGTATCGCTATGAGATCATGGCTGCCACAATGCTCGGGCAAGGTAAGAATATTTGGCAAGCGGAGATTGATGCGGCTGCTGAGACTGCCGACTTCTATCGCTTCAACGTGCACTACGCATCTGAGCTGTATAAGCAGCAAAACACCATGAATGACACAGGAATGTGGAAGTAAGTCTACCAAATACATAGCTGACTTCCACTCCCTTTGCTAATCGTATCTGCTTCCAGTCGCTTGGAATATCGTCCTCTGGAGGGCTTTGTCTATGCTATTAGTCCCTTCAATTTCACCGCCATCGGCGCCAACTTGATTGCCGCGCCCGCTATTATGGGCAATGTGGTTATCTGGAAGCCATCTGATTATGCAGTGTATTCTGGCTATCTTCAGCGAAAAATCCTGGAGGAAGCGGGCCTTCCTCCCAACGTCATTCAATTCCTTCCCGGCAACGCGAAGGTTGTGACTGACACCGTGCTGGAGAACCCGAAATTTTCGGGTCTTCATTTCACTGGCTCCACTGAGGTATTCCGTGATCTGTATGGCCAGATTGCTGATGGGGTTCGCGTGGGCCGCTACGATAACTACCCACGGATCGTCGGAGAGACTGGTGGAAAAAACTTCGGCGTTGTGCATGGAAGTGCTGATATCCGCAATGCGGTGGTTAACACAATCCGGGGTGCCTTTGAGTACCAAGGTCAGAAATGCTCTGCTACGTCCCGCCTTTACGTCGCGGAGTCGGTATGGCCGGAATTCAAAAGGCAACTTGTTTCCGAGACAGAGAAGTTGAAGATGGGCAGTCCTGAGTATTTTGATAATTTTATTGGTCCTGTCATCCACAAGCGTTCTTGGGATAAGCTGACCGGGGTTATCGATATGGCTAAGGAGGATTCTTCGGTCACCCTGTTGGCTGGCGGCGAGACTGATTGTACGAAGGGGTGGTTCGTACGTCCGACTATTTTCCAGGTGGAGGACCCGTCGCACTCTCTAATGAAGGATGAGTACTTCGGCCCTATCTTGTCTGTTTACGTCTACCCTGACAGCAAGTTCGAGGATACTCTTTCTGAGGTGGACGCGAGCACCAAGTTTGGACTGACTGGCGCCATATTCGCCAGAGATCGTTCGGCGATTGAGAATGCTGAGAAGCAGCTGCGCCACTCTGCTGGTAACTTCTATATCAATTGCAAAACGAGTGGCGCAGTTGTGGGCCACCAACCTTTCGGGGGTTCTCGTGCGAGCGGAACCAATGATAAAGCGACCAGCACCAACCTTGTTGCTCGCTTTGCGAGCATTCGCAGCATCAAGGAGGACTTTCAACTGACTGATGATGTTACCTACCCCTCTAACGAAATATAGTTGCTGTTATTCTGTGAAGATGAGTGCTAGGATTTCTACGCGGTTAGCATCTGTTTGTAAAAGTACTTGCCGATTTTAATATGTAACTTTGTGGTACATCCAGTCATATATTCATAGATTCATAGAGTGTCCATACAAATTCAAGTAAGCGGTCACGGGCTTAGTGAACAGCACGGAATTCAAGAAGCCAACAACATATAAAGCACCCGTCGCCGTCAAGTGCCCTCAGTATTGAAGACCTTTTCAATTTCAAGCCAATCCATATAATCCACCCCCGTTAACGGCATCGTTGGGTTGTGGAAGCTGGAATATATCCCTTCAGCTTCACCTGTCAAATCAAAACACCAGTCTCCCTGGATGTCAAACGCTGCACTCGAGGTTTCATCATGGTTCCAGGACTCTAGAAGCCCGCTTTCATCCGGGTAATACTGTACAGAGTCTTGAGCCATACTCGCGTACGGTAGAGCAGCTGAGGGATGCGACCCACTGCTTCTAGTGGATCCTTGCCTGGGTACCGCACGTTGGACTCTGTCTTTTACTGAACCTATCTCTCTAGTCTGAGTCCCACGAGGTGCGCCTTGGAAAACATAGTTTGGCCAGACATGGGAACATGATTGTGCAATATCATGGAATCGTTGCTCGGCTGCTAGATTCCCGGCCCGGGAGAGGAATTGTAGAACTTGGAATGCCTGATCCAACGCAGGGGGCGGTTGCTCTTTAACATTCTCTGCGAACCCGGTCATGACCAAAACAAAGGCGGCGGAAAAAGTTGCATCTAAATCAAAGAATCCATAGCGTGCTGCATACGATGTGTCATTGGACCGCTCACATGCAAATGAAGATGCAGATGCTGCACTTACGAATGATTCGTTGCTGTTGAAGACTGTATAGAATGGCCAAACTCCGCGTTGATGCCTCATAACATGTCTCACAAAGTCTGGCTAGAACTTCCGGCATTGGCTCGGGGGGCAGTGATTCTTGCTGTCTTTGAACCTCCAAACGGACCCTTCTCAAAAGTATTGGTCTAGTGCAAAGTATGATTGCCTTTGGATATGATTAGAATTTGATTATCACCGAAGAAGCGCAAAAGAATTACCTGGAACAACATGAGGTAGAGGGAAGATCCCGTGCGTGTCACTCTTCCTAGCGGATGATTGAAGTCCAAGACTAGTGAGTGAGGGAAAGATCTGCCTATATTGTACAGCTCCTGGAGTACAGCCTGGATCTTCCTCACAAGTTCTAATTGGGTGATGGAATTATTGCCATATAATGCTGGGCCCGCACTGTTAGTAACAAAGACAAAGACAAAACTTATTTAGTGTGCTTACAACACATGATCTCATCCGTTATTCGTGCAATACGGACGTTTATGATGATGGCCACGGGGGATGTAAAACCTACGGCATGCCGAGGAAACCCTGCTCGAAGTTGGCGTTCATCGGCCCCGCCCGCTAATCCAAGACCCGATGATAGGCGTCTGTACGAATTAGCCACGAGATTGCCAAGGTTTCAGATCGCGAATACTGAATTATACCTATCTAACATGTAAACTGTCCACCATAACCTAACTCTGTGGGCACTCTGTGAGGGTAGACATGTCTGTTCGTCTTCCGGCAAGTTACACCCAAGTGCAATAGCTAGCCTAAGGGCAAGACCAATCTAAACCAGATTAGCTGCATAAACGAAAGGAGAAACAATAGCAGTGATCGTACGTAGAGGTAAGCATCATGCCTTCGATCACACCATTGTAGATATGTTGCAACCAATGTGAGAATCTCCACAGCAATAACCCCTTCTTCACCAAGGCTTTGCATTGGAGGTACCCGTCTCATGGCTTCAGCAAACAAATCTGCTCCGGGTGGCTGAGATGTGGGCTGCTCAACATCCATAAGCTGCGCCATGGCCATTACCAGCAAATACTCTGTATACCAAGTCGTTTGTTTCTGGTTCTCACGGTTTTCTGGCGTTTGAAAAAGCAACACCATCGAATCGGAGAAGGAGCGAGGATCAAAAAAGTGCTGGCTCACCCCCAGGTAGTAAAGGAACTGATCCAATAAATGGTGGGATTCTTCCAGAGACGGTATCTCAGCGTCCTTAACACCCTCCACAAGATCCCGGACAGTTGCCCACCGACCCACAAGCGCATCAGGCCCACGGTGACCCTGATATCCTCCGCTCGAAACGGGTCTGTGGGGTTTCGATCTGTCAAGCAATGACCTCACCTGGGACTCAAACGCAGGCCCCGAAGTCAAATCGGTTGCTTCATGAACAGTTAATTGATAATCGACCAGGACGAGATTCGCCGCAATCCATACCGGGACTAATACCATCCACGCTTCCATCGTAAGGTAGACTCTCTGATGGGCGTTCCTCAGGGTTGTGGTTGCCCAGGGTCGTCGAGTTGTTTGGGGATGTGGGTTCGGGCTGCCCTAATGATCGGCTCGGATCTGGATCCGGGGCACTGGAAGAGGGTAGGGGAACGGTTATGTCATCTGCAAGGTTGATGAGCAAAGCTATATAGAGAGAAAGAGACTTGACCTTCAAGTATATCATCGCTCACCGCCACACAGAGTCGCAAGTCGCTCTTCATAGTCTCGAATTGTGTCCAGTAGTTGCTTTACCTGTCTGTAATGGTGGTTAGTGTTAGCCGAACTCGCATGGTCCTGGGAGCACGCACGCTTGGGAGTATCGCATGCGACCAGTATGACCGTAGATGCACTCCCAGTTACGTTTGATACACCCGTGGCAGGGTTGCTCGCCGGAACATTTCACCTTGCGTCGGCGGCATGCCTCACATCTGCGCAGAAGTCATCACACGCTCTTGCCTTAGAAGTTTGGAAACGAATGAGTAGGTAAGATACGTACGCATTTGTTGACCTGGGATTTGAAGTTACCATGATGTCTATTCATGGGCACTTTCTATCGTTCGGTTTGTCTCCCGCAGTGAAGAAGATTGTTTCGGAGGGTTCGAGCTTCGGGCCGGAGGTTCGGGTGCGGTCACCCGAAGTTGTGTGGCGCGAAGGCAGATATGTGGGGATCTCCGCAATCACAAGACAGACACCGGTAAGGGGGAGAAGAATTACAAACTAGGAGGCTAGAATTATATTTAGCGGAAATTGGCGTATCTGAAACATGATTGAGATCTTTCTTTCATCGTGAGGGGGCATGTAAATTGGAGGTGGATTGATATGAAGATTTCGTAGATGGACCTGCAGTCTACATGATTAGCTACGAATCCTCCCCCCGCAGAGACTGGGAAAGTACATGTTTCTATTCTTCTTAAGAACATTAGGCCTACATAAATCCGCGCCTCAAACGACGAAACGTCTCTCGTCGAAGTCCCAGATATTCTTCCTTGGTGCGGCCGACGGCGTCCCTATTCTCGACCGCGCGGCGCAATAGATACGATAAGCAGTCGCCAAGGCTACCCCAGCTGAGGCACTTGAACACCTCTGGAGCTACAGAACGACTCTTATCGGTGCTTTCCTTGCCAATCTGAAGGAGCTTGCAACTCACTCCGTCTGCCATTCCCAACAGCTGTCCATACTGTATTTTGGGTGGCTGAAGCCCTCCCGCAAGCTGTTCTTTGACTAAACGATCAGCCATCAGAGCGCTCTCTCTATTATGTGTAGCTAGAAACAACTCTGTGGAAGGGAAAGGAGAATTGCCACCAATTGGCCCATAGCGCTGTCGGATAATGCTGGCGGCAATGAAGTTATAGGAGTTGTCCGTTTCAGGCTTGGTATCGTTGATGAGACCCCGGGGCTCGGAGTTGATATAGGCACCGCGAACCAATTTTATACCCAAGGTAAATTTCTCCTTCTCGGCGATATCCAGATGGGCTTTCACAGTGTTGGGGGTCGACTTGAGATAAGCTTGGTAAGTATTGAAAACCACAGCTGTCCCGTTGGTATTGTATTTCCTCATCAAATCTAAGGCGACTGTATCGATTCCAGTTTGGACTGATTGTTGCTCGGCGTCAATGAAAATGCGGGCGTTTCGGTCCACGGCGCGTGTGCAAATCTGCTGTAATGCGTCCATGAGTTGGTCTGGCATAGGCGTGTTGGCGGCAAGTGCCTTCATCGCGCTTTCGCCGGCCCCAGTAAGTCTGAAAACCAACAAAATTAACATACTCATCGTTGTTGATATGAGATGGGGGCATACTTCAGCGCCAGTATATCCCCTTTACCAATCATATTGACTGTCTCAAGGACACCTTCCTTCCAGTCTTCAATACCTTGATCCTTTGCTGATTCCTCCTTGAAGCTTTGATCGCTAACAGAAGCTCCTGACTCAGACGTCGGGCCGGTCGCATCGACGACTATCTCTCGAGCGTAAGTCAGGATCACGCCCTTGAATCCCATATCCTTAATATTACTGATCGTGGATTGAACTTCGTCCCTATTCTCTCCCGCACAAAAATGGTTGTAAAAGGTCCGTTTGAGAATGCTTCGTAGGAGGGGATTCTTGTCGACGTCAACGAACGATAGTCTTGGATGCACTAATAATTGGAGCATCTTCAAGGCTGGCGTAAGTAGCCATGGACGGGAGGAGATCGTGGCTACCAAAAGCGATCTAAGTAGCATTTTGTTGGGAAGCAATGAGTGTGGTGGAAGCTCCTGTGCATGCTGAGACGGCGCGTCCAGTGTTTTGCTTTCATCCCCGATCGAGCCCACAGAAGCCGTTGACTTGGCCCGTCCGACCTTGTCGAAGTCGCATCGCACCTGTAATGGCGGCGAAGTATTGCGTGCGCCTCGCAAGAGTCTCAACGTTCTAGGGACCACCATCTTCGTTTTGCAACAACAGCCACGTCAGAGATAGTGTGCTTGGAAGCTGATGGGAAAGGGCGGATCCCAAGCAGGATTTATCAAGTGGACGTTTAAGCACTTCTTATCGATAAAGATGTCTCGCCGAAACTTGTGTAGTTTTGATAGGGTCGGATGTGAGCCGAAGGTGGATAATCAGCGGATATGTCTCCGACAGGGCGTGTTATGGCCACTTCCCTCTGTCGTCTATACTGCGTCTCCCTTTTCATTTAGAAATATGATCTCTTCATATCCAAAACAGTATACTTTGCGCTCGTAATTTTCCTGTACAATAATTCTCACTACAGTAGCTTGATCTAGCTGAGACTACTGAATGAATATTAGATCATGAAAACAATAATATCTTACTAGCTGAGAACAGGTATTTTTTTTTTAAAAAAAAAACTAAAAAAAAAATAGTATTCAGAGATATATAACTGAATTATATTATATTATTTTATTCGTTCAATTTCAATACTTATGTATAGCTTTTTACATATTGTTCTTTCTCATATCTGATATTTGTTTAGATGTACATGATAACAGATACTTGACCAGCTCTTACAAAGATGATATACTTTTTATGAAACTCAATTTTTCGTATATAATATATATGATTAAGCCTAACCCTGATTACCTGGTGGAGTACGGATGTCGGAACCATCCGGATGCATTAATAATAACAGTAGTGACTGGAGCTCAAGTAGTCGCGTTAATAGTCACCTTTTCCCAGACATCAGCCAGCTGTAGGAAGCCCGGTATAATAATTATCTATATTCCAGTCTGGTCATGTTAACCGCATATGAGCGGTAATTAACTGGCAAAAGATCTATTATAATAATTAGCCCAGTAACAAGGCTCGTGTATCTCAGAATTATTAATTCTTTAATCTGTGCCTGGAGCTATTAATACTAATATATCTTATAATATGTCAAATCCCTGGCTTGAGCCAGTATGAGTTTGTATATAACTGCAGATATCAATACCTGATTAGTACTGATGTAAAGATGATCTCTGGCCCAGTGAAGAAGCCTGGAAGTTCTGAAATATAAGCTGTAGGATTTACATGATATACTAAACTTCTAATATATCTTAATAGCTAAACAGTGGAGTGTATTATTATACAGTACATATCAGCAGGTAATTAGTGATCTATTAGTGGTAGGACGTCCCATGACTGAATAGTAGACAGAGTAGATGTACTCATGTAGTGGATAGAGTAGGTACAGTAGATATGATGAGCTTGGTGGATGTAGTGGATCACCAGTGGATCTGGAATAAAGCTTTAGAGTTTGGGACGCGGAAGGATTACACGGGCCGCAGTGGTGTCAAGAGTAGCTGCACTGACTGGTGGGTCTGTTGGGGACTTGGGCTTTACTATTCCATGGGTCATGAGGCTGGTCGTACAACCGTACAAGGCGAGGTGCATGCATACGTGTCTGCATGCATGTCACCTAACAAGGTTTCAACCATGTTGCAGAGACATGTCGCACATATTGCTGTATTGGAGAGGTTTAGCCCTCCCACATTGCCAAACTTGAGCCTCCCTAGTGGGATCCGTATCGGTCTTATACACGAGGATTGTTCTTCTCGGATGAGCCAATCAACTGATAATAACAGTGTTGCATGTTGTACGCAACTCAAAGAGCTCAGGCAGTTTGGTTACCGAAGTAGAATTACTCAGGTTGCTTGGCGGAATCCTTTTGGGCTGGAACGTTTCGCAGCATGATGAACATATCGGGCCTGTACTGCGGAACAGGCATAATAGGCGCTTCACCGGCAGACTGATTTCAAGAATGCCTGTTTAGCCCAATGGCAGAAGGATTATTGCCATCTGCTAAAGAAACAGTTGAATATGATTGTGCTTACTAAGCACTTCAAATGTCCTCAACTATTACTACTTAATCAAGTATCCTCAGATTAACTTAGGGCACTGTCAGTATTCTAAGAATAAAAGGTGTCAACATTTCTGCTGTAAGAATCTACCTAAAAATAACTACCACAAAGGCCAAAAAGGCCATCATTACCCGCAGAACCTGTGGGACCTTACCATTCCACAAACATACCGAGGTACATTCTAGGGGAGAGTGGGCAGACTATCCTAGTAAGAAAAATATTTTGAACAGTAGCTATGCTCTCTTTCATCTCTCTTGTTATCTGTGGTGTCTCCAGGGAGAGAAGTTATGCTAGCCAAATTATTAAGCTATCTCAGACCTTCAAGTAAATGGCAGAAAGAATTCGCGGTGAATTTGATATAGCCTGTAACAGCTTGGTACATGTACATGATACTAATGCAAATTGTGTATACGGCGAAGTCCACTTAGCCACTTTCCACTGTTTCTTCTGGCGCTGCTCCCTTCTTTCTGCTGGACTAATAGTACGCCCTGCGACTGCACCAGGCTGAGCACAACTTTCACTAAGCGGAGGCCAGACCCCATCGACGCAACGTGCACTTAAGGCCCGCGCCGGCAGTGATCATTTGCTAGGCACCAGTCCCACGTCGCGTCATCTGAGTAAGGGTTAGTGCCACGTAACAATTGATTGAGGCAAGAAGGGTGGCAAAGGGCATTTCTTACCAGTGTACGAGCAACAACATCTCTTGTAACCCCCAAGAGTACATTTGTCACCGTCGCCGCAATCACTAGTCCTGACTTGATAGGGGCGGGAATCATCCTGTATCCAACACTCTTCTGGAGAACACATAGGATCTGTCCCCAGCCAGTAGCAATTGACAGAGATATTATCGCCGCCGTCTATGGTACTGATCAGTTATGCCACCGTCGAACCATGATTCAGGAGGGGTAGGAGTAGTAACTGAACGTACCCTCTTGTGCCAGACCGGAGCCAGCGGACAGCATAGCGACCAAGAGATAGTTGAAGTGCATGACGGATAATAAAAATCAGTCTTGGACAATGTGGACTATATAATCGAAAGCTCGAAAATTTTATGCTCTGAGTATCACTTAGTGAGAAGTAAAGGGTTTGGTAGTCTCTACTTATATTGCGATTGATTGAAAAGAGAGTATCGGTGAGAAAGCCTGTTACAGTTGTTTGATGCAACATAGCTTTGGAGTATGTAACGCGACCGAGTATGGAATACAATAGTGACGTAGGATAAAACATTCGGATTGAACTGCTGGAGAGCACAACTCTTGGGTATATCGCTGAAGAAATTTAATCTCGAAAAGGTTTATAAGAAGCTTCTGGGGTCTTTGCCTCCGAATATGAAAATGGCTATGTAACAGTATAAAGACTATTGGTAAGCGGTCAGATGAGATTAGAAGAACTTTGTCGCTTTCTATTAGAGTAACTGTCAGGCTAGAAAATCTTCATATTCCACTTCCGTACGGCTGAAATACTAGTAGTTAACAATTTTCATTACCTCGCTGCTAGTGTAATAGATTTTACCATTTATGTAGATCAATTATAGATTAAGCTGTTTATTCTTGATCCCATCCTGCTTCGCTACAGAAAGGCCAGACTCGCAGATTTCCATTACCCCAGTTATATTAACCGCAGAAATTACCAGACTAGAGTCTAGTTATCAGATAGGATCAATTGGAGAGCGGAACCCGCGGAAAAGTGGCATAAGGTGGTATTAGGAGTCATGAGGTCATGGATAGCGTTTCCTCGCATTCCGTAGTGAATATTAGGTAGAGGCTTCTCCGACAGCTACTGATCCTCAATCATCAGTAGGCCGCTTCTATCATACTTGAAAGACTATAGATTTTCCCAGAGAACATTCTTTAGTAGATAGGCTCTCTGCCCAGACAATTCTATCCCACCACTAGATACATTGTGTAACTAACTTATTTTACACAGCAATTGCAGATTTCTAAGGGAGCAAGAGCAAACAATAATAAAAAGAATGGTGACTTTACGAAAGCGAATGGATGCAGATATTATGAAAGCAATCTACTGGAGAGTCAGAACCTGAATGATACCCATCGCGTTCAAGGGGCAAATTCTTCCCTACTGCGAAAAGCTAATTCTCTCAGCAAACTGCTAAAAGATTGGAATGCTCAAGACGAGCGGCTTAGAAGCTCACTACAATTGAACAAATAGTAGGTTGCTAAAAGAAGAGGAATGCCTTTTTTGGGGTTACACTACCCAAGCTTACTTGAAGCTGAAATCTTATGATCAAACCCATTATTTCAGACTGGGGGAGGTTTCCAGGCGCTACAAACCCAACATAGATCATACAAGCTTTAGCAATACTTAATGTGTGCCCCGAATCAGTTACCCACTACAGCAGATAAATTCTCGCCCTGGACTATCGTGGAGATAGCAGAAATCCAACATATTGTGACCTCCCCTTTAGTTCACTTGATAGCATCATGAAAAATAAAGACCAAAAACATACAACAGAAGGTGTATGTCGGTGGTCACTGAGCGCCCCAGATTGGCCTGTCACTGCTTTATTCAGTCTATTCAGTCATCTTCAGGTCGCTTCGGGGGGCGCTGTCAGCGTCCTGAGCCGACCTCTCTAAAATGTGCTGTGCTACCGGGATGTGCTGACCGGGACAGCCAGGCTGACCAGATATAAGACCTGTTCTTCTCTTTCACTAGTCAGAATCTGTATCTTCTATCCTCTACATATTCGCTCTTCTCTCTGTGCTTTAATGTATACTGCTAATTATAGTAGTAAAATAAGTATACTTAAAAGTTTATTAGTAAGTTAATTTTAATAACTATGATAACTTAGAATACAAATCCAGGGTATTAGATCAGACTAAGAACTAGTATAATAAGACTTTAAGTTTTTTTAATAAGTTAAAAAACCTTCTCTTTCTAGATATGTCTTCTATTTATAGAATCTAGCTTTTTTAAGTTATATTCTAATATCTCAGATCCACCTGATATATGAACTTATAAAGGATTTATGGAATTTGTGAATAAAAATATATAAGGTTAACTGGAAGAATTTCTTACACCTGAAATAATAGAGAGATTTTACTAGTAGTTTAAGTTTGTACTCTGTTTATATTATAATTATAATATAC